TTTCAATTTTTGCCAAAAAATGAAATCGCTTGAAATCTGCTAGAAAGATGCCTAAAGAGCTCTAGAACGCATTCCAAACCGATTGCTGGACAGATGTGCTTTTAAAGGGGAGATTCCGTCGAAAAATTGAAGTAAAATCGATCAAAAAATTTTCAATTTTTTTTCACAAAATGGATGATTTTTGCCCAAATCTTCAAATTTATGCGTGTTAGAGTATTGATTGATGTTCCTCTTGCATCCAGATGAATTTGTGCCTTGTTTTGAGAAAAAGCAATTTTTGGCCGATTTCGACTAAAAATGTAAGGCTAACCCCTTGCATTTTTTTCAATTTTGGCCAAAAATTGAAATCGCTTGAAAGCTGCTAGAAAGATGCCTAAAGAGCCCTAGTACGCATTCCAAATCGATTGCTGGACAGATGTGCTATTAAAGGGGAGATTCCGTCGAAAAATTGAAGTAAAATCGATCCAAAAATTTTCAATTTTGTTTCACAAAATGGATGATTTTTGCCCAAATCTTCAAAATTATGCGTGTTAGAGTATTGATTGATGTTCCTCTTGCATCCAGATGAATTTGTGCCTTGTTTTGAGAAAAGTCAATTTTTGGCCGATTTCGACTAAAAATGTAAGGCTAACCCCTTGCATTTTTTTCAATTTTGGCCAAAAAATGAAATCGCTTGAAATCTGCTAGAAAGATGCCTAAAGAGCCCTAGAACGCATTCCAAACCGATTGCTGGACAGATGTGCTTTTAAAGGGGAGATTCCGTCGAAAAATTGAAGCAAAATCGATCAAAAAATTTTCATTTTTTTTTCACAAAATGAATGATTTTTGCCCAAATCTTCAAAATTATGCGTGTTAGAGTATTGATTGATGTTCCTCTTGCATCCAGATGAATTTGTGCCTTGTTTTGAGAAAAGTCAATTTTTGGCCGATTTCGACTAAAAATGTAAGGCTAACCCCTTGCATTTTTTTTCAATTTTGGCCAAAAAATGAAATCGCTTGAAAGCTGCTAGAAAGATGCCTAAAGAGCCCTAGAACGCATTCCAAACCGATTGCTGGACAGATGTGCTATTAAAGGGGAGATTCCGTCGAAAAATTGAAGTAAAATCGATCAAAAAATTTCAATTTTTTTCACAAAATGGATGATTTTTGCCCAAATCTTCAAAATTATGCGTGTTAGAGTATTGATTGATGTTCCTCTTGCATCCAGATGAATTTGTGCCTTGTTTTGAGAAAAGTCAATTTTTGGCCGATTTCGACTAAAAATGTAAGGCTAACCCCTTGCATTTTTTTCAATTTTTGCCAAAAAATGAAATCGCTTGAAATCTGCTAGAAAGATGCCTAAAGAGCCGTAGAACGCATTCCAAACCGATTGCTGGACAGATGTGCTATTAAAGGGGAGATTCCGTCGAAAAATTGAAGTAAAATCGATCAAAAAATTTTCAATTTTTTTTCACAAAATGGATGATTTTTGCCCAAATCTTCAAATTTATGCGTGTTAGAGTATTGATTGATGTTCCTCTTGCATCCAGATGAATTTGTGCCTTGTTTTGAGAAAAGTCAATTTTTGGCCGATTTCGACTAAAAATGTAAGGCTAACCCCTTTTTTTTTTCAATTTTGGCCAAAAAATGAAATCGCTTGAAAGCTGCTAGAAAGATGCCTAAAGAGCCCTAGAACGCATTCCAAATCGATTGCTGGACAGATGTGCTATTAAAGGGGAGATTCCGTCGAAAAATTGAAGTAAAATCGATCAAAAATTTTTCAATTTTTTTCACAAAATGGATGATTTTTGCCCAAATCTTCAAAATTATGCGTGTTAGAGTATTGATTGATGTTCCTCTTGCATCCAGATGAATTTGTGCCTTGTTTTGAGAAAAGTCAATTTTTAGCCGATTTCGACTAAAAATGTAAGGCTAACCCCTTGCATTTTTTTCAATTTTGGCCAAAAAATGAAATCGCTTGAAAGCTGCTAGAAAGATGCCTAAAGAGCCCTAGAACGCATTCCAAATCGATTGCTGGACAGATGTGCTATTAAAGGGGAGATTCCGTCGAAAAATTGAAGTAAAATCGATCAAAAAATTTTCAATGTTTTTCACAAAATGGATGATTTTTGCCCAAATCTTCAAAATTATGCGTGTTAGAGTATTGATTGATGTTCCTCTTGCATCCAGATGAATTTGTGCCTTGTTTTGAGAAAAGTCAATTTTTGGCCGATTTCGACTAAAAATGTAAGGCTAACCCCTTGCATTTTTTTCAATTTTGGCCAAAAAATGAAATCGCTTGAAATCTGCTAGAAAGATGCCTAAAGAGACCTAGAACGCATTCCAAACCGATTGCTGGACAGATGTGCTTTTAAAGGGGAGATTCCGTCGAAAAATTGAAGTAAAATCGATCAATAAATTTTCAATTTTTTTTTAAAAAATGGATGATTTTTTGCCCAAATCTTCAAAATTATGCGTGTTTGAGTATTGATTGATGTTTCTCTTGCATCCAGATGAATTTGTGCCTTGTTTTGAGAAAAGTCAGTTTTTGGCCGATTTCGACTAAAAATGTAAGGCTAACCCCTTGCATTTTTTTTCAATTTTGGCCAAAAACTGAAATCGCTTGAAATTTGCTAGAAAGATGCCTTAAGAGCCGTAGAACGCATTCCAAACCGATTGCTGGACAGATGTGCTTTTAAAGGGGAGATTCCGTCGAAAAATTGAAGTAAAATCGATCAAAAAATTTTCAATTTTTTTTCACAAAATGGATGATTTTTGCCCAAATCTTCAAAATTATGCGTGTTAGAGTATTGATTGATGTTCCTCTTGCATCCAGATGAATTTGTGCCTTGTTTTGAGAAAAGTCAATTTTTGGCCGATTTCGACTAAAAATGTAAGGCTAGCCCCTTGCATTTTTTTTCAATTTTGGCCAAAAAATGAAATCGCTTGAAAGCTGCTAGAAAGATGCCTAAAGAGCCCTAGAACGCATTCCAAATCGATTGCTGGACAGATGTGCTATTAAAGGGGAGATTTCGTCGAAAAATTAAGTGAAAAGTGCTCGAAAATTTACATTTCCAACCCCCCAAAATGGTTGATTTTTGCCCAAATCTTCATAATTATGAGTATTGATTGATGTTCCTCCTGGATCCAGTTGAGTTTCTGCCTTGTTGTGAGAAAAGTCAATTTTTGGCCGATTTTGACTAAAAATGTAAGGCTAACCCCTTTTTTTTAAATTTTGGCCAAAAAATGAAATTGTTGAAAAAGTGCTAAAAAGATGCCTTAAGAGCCCTAGAACGCATTCGAAATCGATTACTGGACAGATGTGCTATTAAAGGGGAGATTCCGTCGAAAAATTGAAGTAAAATCGCTCAAGAATTTTCAATTTTTTTCACAAAATGGAGGATTTTTGCCCAAATCTTCAAAATTATGCGTGTTAGAGTATTGATTGATGTTCCTCTTGCATCCAGATGAATTTCTGCCTTGTTGTGAGAAAAGTCAATTTTAAGCCGATTTTGACAAAAAATGTAAGGCTAACCTCTTGCATTTTTGTCAATTTTGGCTAAAAAATGAAATTGCTTAAAAAGTGCTAAAAAGATGCCTAAAGAGCCCGAATTCCAAATCGATTTTTGGACAGATGTGCTATTAAAGGGGAGATTCCGTCGAAAAATCAAGGTAAAATTGCTCAAAAATTTTCAATTTTGTTTCACAAAATGGATGATTTTTGCCCAAATCTTCAAAATTATGCGTGTTAGAGTATTGATTGATGTTCCTCTTGCATCCAGATGTATTTGTGCCTTGTTTTGAGAAAAGTTATTTTGGCCCATTTTGACTAAAAATGTAAGGCTAACCCCTTGCATTTTTTTCAATTTTGGCCAAAAAATGAAATTGCTTAAAATTGCAAGAAAGATGCCTAAAGAGCCCTAGAAGGGGAGATTCCGTCGAAAAAATAAGGGAAATCGCTCAAACATTTTCTGGTTCTTTTTCTCAAAATGGATGATTTTGTGCCCAAATCTTGATAATTATGCCTGTTAGAGTATTGATTGATGTTCCTCTTGCATCCAGATGAATTTTTGCCTTGTTTTGAGAAAAGTCAATTTTTGATACAAAGCAAAGAGGGTTTATGCATCGAAAGTTGTTGAGTCAAACTACATTCATGTACTAATTTTTGACCTACCTCACCGACTTTAAAGACTGTAACCAGGAGCATCTATGGTCATAAGCCAAATGCCAGCTCAAGGGTAAAATGTCACCTGGAGCATATTTTTTGCCCTTCAACTACAAATTGTAGTTGTACTTTAGATGAGTTACAGTATTGATTTCAAAGCATACTATCTTTTATTAGTGATTAATAACAAGGTTTTATTCCAAATATATGAAGGTACAATATACCGATGGAGTATAAACGCTAGAGAGTTTCTGAATAAAGGAAGCCAATAAATGGAGGCAAAATCATTAATATACCTGTACATGTACCATAAATTCTTGATTACTTACATATATATTACCGAGCATAATACCTTTAGTTTACCAAAATAAAACCAGAAACTGAGTATATCTATAAAACATGTAAGATGATTATTATAATGAAATAATTTGTACAATTCAAAGGATAAGCCTTTTTCTTTACAACATTCATTGTTATTGTTAGGCCTACTGTATATAAAATAACATAAAAAATGGCAATTAAAAAAAAAAGCTGCAAGAAATTCTTTTTAAAGGTAAATGGCACTGACGTCTTTATCTACATCTATTTTGACGTTTGAAGTTACACATGCATCTTATTAATCTCAACTGAAGTTGTACTACTCTCGAGCTGCAATATGTACATGATTGCAGAAGACGCTCAGAGTCACACCAAGCTGAAAGAGCAGAACGGGGCCTTGAAAGTTGATATCAACGTAGTCCCCCATCGTCCACCAGGACGGATAGGTGAAGATACCGAAATATAACCAAACGCTGATGAGTAAATTTATAACTATAAAATGCGAGAAACCTGATGCTCATTATAAATATCATTAAAGTTTTTTTTTTTTTACAACGTATGCATTGTTGTTATTACTGTATTTACAATTATTAAACATTTTGGAAAAAAATTGCAGTTTAATAAGAAGCTGCAACAGGTAACTATCTTTTAAAGACTAAAAGGCAAGGGGTGTGCAAAATCGTATTAAAATTGGAGGATTCGGGACTGTTAGGGCTTGTCAGAAACCTGAGCAACTCTGTGTAAATACACTAACTACAAAGATGTCTCACCATCGTTGCTTAGAAACATTCTATTCTTGTTTTACAACGTACACTGTTGGTGCTATTAAAATCCTGGTCTATTCTATTGCGGCTCACACGCTTGCTCGATGTCCTGACTCGGCTGAAGATGGCAATTAATGTAGCAGATGAGGATTACGGTGAAGCACAGAACGTAAACACTCACAACAACTACACAATGTTTGGCCAACGTTGCATATTCAGACAGATTTTTGTTGTCTGCTATTGGCACAAGATAAGCAATGTGGGAGCATCGTGCTGGCCTCTGCACAGTTACAATCATGGTGAGGTCCTCAAGATGGTACAGACATGTCTGACGGATACATGATGACAGGTTCCCAAAACAAGTCCTATTCAGAGAGCTCTTGACAGGTACATGTACGTACCGGACCTCATGGAAGACGTTTGAAATACATGTACATGTATGCCATCCAAGATGATCTTAAAGCATTTGGGAGCAACCAAAACTGGTCCTCCTCACAAAAGATGCAAGATGCTCAAAATCACACCAAGTTGAAGAGTAGATCTGCGCAGTGAAAGGCGACATCATAGCGTTGTCCCCAATTGTCCACCAGGAAGGGGATGTAACGTGACCTTTTACTTTACCAAAATAAAACCAAAAACTGACTACATGTGATTATATAGTATATAAAAGACTAGATGCAATATAATAATGTATACATTAATTTGTTGGTATTACCCTGTTTATATTAATAAACATTTCGGAAATAAATCTGGCAGTTGAACAAAAAAGATCCGGCAATAAGTAAATGTTGTTTTATAAACTAAATGACATTGCATCTTACTTTACAGCTAACTATTTTGGGGTTGGAGGAATTTATATTCTGCATCACCCATATCATCTTTGCTATTGACTTAATTGGGTTTCTGAGGTCACAGTTTTTACAACAGGAATATTTGATCGGTTCTCTGAATTGGAACGAGTGTTCTTCATGGCCAGGTCAGACTTCCTCCTTACAGAAGCAGACTTTCGTTTTTGGTAGCACAGATCTGCAATGGTATAGAGGTAGGGGTTGAGAGAGGAGTTGATTGGAAGGATGAAAACGACAATCCAGGCATAGGCTTCCGTTGGTATCTCCACCACGTGGGCCTGTGACAGAATACCCATGATGATGACCGGTACCCAGCAGACAAAATCCGTCAGGATGATGGCGGCCATCTTGATGGCCAAACGCTGTTCATCGTCCCGGCTACTGCTGTTCACCTTCTTGCTCGATGCCCGGACACCCCTGAAGATGGCAATGTAGCAGATGAGGATTACGGTGAAGCACAGAAGGTTGACCCCGAGGAACAGAGCGATGGAGAAGAACCAGGAAGCTCGGTAATCGACAGGATACGGTATCCCCACAGTGATGTTCGCCACGCCCCCAGCATCAATCTGCTGATCCACCGTCTCATATTCAGTAACTTTAGTCATCAGTGGCAGCCCAATGCAAACATCAGAGAGGCCGTAAACATCAGATGAAGAGTCGGATGCAAGTATTGTTGGGACCAGTCCAACGATCACCGTACCAATCCAGACACACAATGCAGCAATCCGAGAAGACTCCGGACAAAGATTGTATTTTTTTAACGGGTGGACGATTGCAAGATACCTGTCGATGCTGATGAAGGTGAGAAAGAACACAGAAGCCTCGCTGCCGATGATGGAAATAAACCCAGCAATCTTGCACATGGGGCTCGTCCGCCATTCCATAGACACTTCAAAATAACGCTCTCCAAAATACACATCGGCGCTGGCTATGATCAGCATGTACAACCCCATAAGGGCATCCGACACAGCTAGATTAAACACCAGGAAAGACTGAACGATTCGACTCTCTCTGCCCTTCGACCTTTCCCGATATCGCCACACCATTACATAGATGTTGCCGATGAGGGCGCTAACACCAAGAATCCACATGAATACTTTGAGGACCATTTTAGGCATCAATTCGCTGCACATGAAAAGTGGAGGCTGTGGCTCGAGCGTCTTACACTCGGACGAGGGGAAGAAACAACACAGTCGATGGTCATCTACATACCTGACACAACAGACAGAAAACGTTACATAAGCCAATTATAGTGCAAACAGACTGAATTATATAATACGTTCAAAGGTTTAGCGAGAAACTTGAAATCACACTTACAACTCCGCCACATCATCAAGTCCTTGAAATGCATCATCTTCTACTATAAGTGGTGGTAGGTCTTTAATGTTGCGGACAATTATCCTAAAACAAAGCATTCATGATGATGGGTCAAACACTTGTACCAGGTGAGACACTTATTTTATCGTACACTGAATGTATGTGAGGAGAAACATCTAGAAGTAATTATGTAAAAAGCTGAAAATCTCCTACTCGGTGTTATAGATAGACTTTGAACGTTCAAGGTCATACTCGGTTCAAACATGAATGCGAATGTGTGAAGTCTTGTCAAGTTTTTATGCTGCTGATTCACAAGATTTGGACAAATGGTAACAATGCGGGCAGCAAATTTCGTTGCAAAACTTTCAAATTCGTTCGCAATCAATGTACTAGTTCCTTATACACCTCGCACCAAACTCTATCCCCGTCAGCCCAAACCTTTAACACTACGGATAACAGCTGAGTTTTATACTGCTATGAAAGTTACAAGAACTGATGTTCTACCAAATTGCATTGTCCTTTGTTTATTTGGTCAGACGTTGTAATTGTTTTCATTGCTTTTAGTGATACGTTGCAATCGAAGACCTTAATCTTTGAATAGTTTCTAAAATCCTTCAGCAAAAAGTACTCACAACGTTTTCACGTGGCCGAGACCAGAAAATGCATTCGTCTTGATTCTCGTCAACGGCACATCAAAAATCGTACTGAAGGTCAATAGAAGTAGGGAATGGCTCAAAAGTCAAGCAGCTCAACAACCAATAACTTCCCACACCAATACTCAGCGATCTTAAAGAAGGATTTTCATTTATGATGGGGGACATTTTAAATGATGGCTTCAGACAAAATAAAAGGTAATAAGATTTTGTTTCCATTGTTTTGATTGTTTGAAGCAACAAAATAACCTGTGTTCCCAAACATACCTATGTACCCGAACCCTAACCCTAACCCTAAAGATTTCGGGGAACAGTATTGGGGAACATAGACCCCAATTGGTACAATCCGTATCTTCAGTTTGAGCAAGGTTTCCTCATTAAATCGATAGGTGCTTTTCCAGGTATTTAGAATGTTCCTTACGTGCCCTTAAAAATGTCAATCCTTTCACACAACCCATTTATTAACCTTGATTGGATATAGCCTGTCAGGAGGTAAAATCATATACAATGGGACGGAAAGTTACACACAATATGACTATATTCGGCCTGAAGTACCATTCTCTTGTATAATCTTGCAGGTTGTGCTCTTTCCTATTGACTCTTTTTCTACTAGACTTCTGGCAAAAAATGAGGAATGCTCAATGAAAATGCTGCTCATACTGTGACGGAAAGTGTAGTTTTATGCCCTTGTTCATGTTATTGTATTCTAATCTTATGAATGAACTGTAGTATAGTACGCCCGTGACTGGGCGTGGCTTAGCAGTCAGGGTGTGCGTGTATGCACGCGATTGGTTAACAAAGCCCCATATGTTTAGTGCATCATAATGGTTTAGTGCATGTGCTATGTATGCGCGTAAGTAGATTGCTACGTACGTAGGCGCGGGAGGTTCTGGCAAGTGGCAGCGAGCTGTACGAACGTGAGTTGAGTGTGCTCTCGCTGTGGCGTGTATTGCTATATGGTGATTTGCGCTATATGCTAGCTACGCGCGGGCGAACTGTTGGACAGTTTAGCCGTACACTTGTGGGTGCATTGTGGTTGATTGGGGCTGGGCCCATGGTTTCGTAGTGCTACGTGCGCACAAACCATATCTCCACAGTGGCACTGAGCTATGCAATGCGATATTGTTTAAGCAGTGCAGCATTGGTTGATGCGTTGCTGTAGTGTTTCTATATTGCAGCATTGGTTTGTGCATTGCTATAGCGTTCATGTATTGCAGTATTAGTTGTGCATTGCTATAGCGTTCCTGTAATGCAGCATTAGTTTGTGCAGTGATTATTGGAGTGAGCAGTGCGATATTAGTTGTATATTGCAAATAGGGCTCATATTCGAAAACCACAGGTTGTAATAAAGCTACCCAAGACAATTACTCCCAAATCATTTAATCATTTAATTGTTGTCTCTGAAATAAATCATCGTGTTACTTGAGATTACCGACCATTCAGTTGCCAGTTGTCCTTGTTATTGTGTTATTGCCTAGTAAACAGAAGGTTTAGGGATCAATTCCTGCGGCGGTAGATTTCCACCCAAAACGAGCCTGCATCCTTAGCCTTTAGACTGCTTTGTGTAGTCCCTGGTCCAAGGAATAACTTGGTTCGGGAACAGTCCCGCCACAAATGGTGTCAGAAGTGGGATTGGAATTGATTAAGGTGACTTCTCTGTTGACTAATAGAATTGCACAATTGGTCTTCACGTGTTGTTGATTTCGGTGGTGATTTTGGGGTTGAGATGAGCGATCCAGGCTCGAAAGGTCGAATTGGCACCTCGAGTGCTGAGGTCGAGGTGCAACGACTGCGGATGGAAAACCAAATACTGCAGTGGGAAAAGGACCTCACTGAAAAGAAGTTGGCGCTAGCTGCCATGGACTTGCAGTCGGGTGATTCCCCAAATGGAGGAAACGGGGGTACGCAAGCCGAGAGTGGGCGTGTGCGCCGTCGTGTTGATTCCGATGTTGAGTTTAGGTTGCCCGAAGAGACATCTGGGTATGTCTCTGGAGCGACGGGGAGAGAGTCAGGTGCAGGTGTGGTGCCTGAGTTGGCCCCTAAAGTGGGGAGGGGGGTGAGCTTTATTGAAAGTACACCTCAGAAAGGACAAAGCTCAGGGGTGTTCCCCCGAGCGCAGTCGACGCCTATTTCTAGGGAGACGGAGGGTCCTAATGGGGATCTGTTGTCGTTCACGCCTGAGGTTGGTGTAAGACGGGGTAGGGCGAGTACCAACCCGTTCGTTGAAGATAAGGAATCGTGTACCCCTAAACAGGTACATAGTGAGCTGTTGAGTTTCGCGACTCGACCAGTAGAGGCAAAGAACAACAGTTCAGCTCAAGTTGACATCTCGTCAGTGGGTCCGTGGCCACTGAAAAGAGAGGCACGGGTCCATGGTGGTGTGGGTCAGGTGGGTAGTTTGGAGCGACCAAATCGCAGGCCAAACATAACCCCTGATCGGTACAGTGGGAAGGTACTCTGGAAGGAGTACTTCCGCCATTTTGAGTCATGTCGTGAGGTGAATATGTGGAGCGAGGAGCAGGCTGCGAGGTGGTTAGCCGCAAGCTTGCAGGGAGACGCTCTACGGTTGTTGGGTGACTCAGGCCACAAGTACAAGTACAATGCACTTGTTAAGCTGCTGGAGCGCAGGTTTGGGTCAGCTCGACAGAGTGAAAATTATCTTGTCGAATTGAGACATCGACGCCAAAAGCCAAAGGAGGGCTTGCAGGAATTAGGGCAAGCGATTCACGAGTTAACAGCAAGAGCATACCCTGAGTTGCAGGAGGATGCTCGGGAGAGGTTGGCTAAGAACCACTTCATAGACGCCGTTGATTGTCATTCAGTCAGGGAGGGCATTCATCGGGCTCGTCCAAAGACTTTGGATGAAGCGGTCCAGGCTGCCCTAGAGACAGAGAACTTTGATAAGGTCGAACAGCAAAGGTTGTTTGACCGGAAGCCCGCCAAGCTGGCGAGAGCTGTTGACTCCGGAACAGAGCAGAGGTTTGAGACTTTAGAGAAAAGTATCGGTGAACAGGCCCAGGCATTGAAGTCTGTGGCTGAATTGGTAAAGTCGTTGTCGACTCAGATCAAGGGTCAGAGTCAGGTTCAGGGCATGCCCCCCAAAACGAACAAGCCCAGTACCCTGAAGTGCTTCAGGTGTGGTGAGATAGGGCATTTCGCCCGGGAGTGTCAGAGACATCCACAACAGGGAAACGGCAGTCAGCCCCCCGTAGGACCCGCGGGAAGGCTGAGTGGACAAAAGGGTCCAAAAGACAACAAAGTGACAGCGAGGGTGGTAGTAGAGAGAAGCGGTCAAAGCATGGGGATGGGCAACGAGTAATAACTCTGCCCAACCCAAGTCGCGGCCCTCGTTATGGTTTATTTGTTGATGGAATGGTGAGAGGGACCAAGTGTCGGTTTTTGATTGACACGGGGTCCACCGACACCTTGATAAGTAGTACGGTATACTATCAAATTCCAAAGGAGAAGAGACCTGTCTTAGAGACGGAGGAGGTCCAGGTGAAGCAAGTTGACGGTAGTCGATTGCCCGTGCTTGGCATAGCTTGGGTGGAGGTGCAAGTTGGTCGAACCACGCACCAAGTAAGGGCGGTGTTTACCGAAATGAAGTATAGTGGCATCCTGGGCATGGATTTTCTCGTGCCAACAGGTGGAAACATAGACTTCCAGTCAAGAGAGTGGAGGCTCAATGGTGAGCGAATCAGGTGCACAAACGGTGCCGGTGAGCCCTTTGTGGGACGTGTAGTGGTTTTAAAAACTACTGTGATTCCGTCCGGTCATGAGGCCATGGTCCCAGGTATAATTGCCCGGAAGGGTGCCGACTTGGTCGGGCCAGCCATGGTGGAACCAATGGAAGGTGGCGGTGACCTAGCTAAGAAGGGTTTGGTTTTGGCCAGATCTCTGGTTGAGACTGAAGCAGAGGTTATTCCGTTGCGGGTCTTCAATCCCGGAAGGGAGAAAAGAGTTGCACGTGAGGGGACGACAGCGGGAACGATCTCCCAGGTAGAGGTTGGTTCAATTCATGGTGAGTTGGATGTGGTGGCAAATGCTGGTGAGGAGTTACCCCAGCACTTGCAAGATTTGTTTGAGAGGGGTACAGCCAAGGTAGAGGCTACGTACCATGAGGATGTCCGGAAATGTTTAGTTGACTTTCAGGATGTATTGTCTAAGGGTGACCACGACATTGGTCGCACGGACGTGGTCCAGCATCACATAAGCACTGGTGATGCTAAACCGGTGAGAGAACGGATGAGGCGTCATCCGTATTGCCATCAGGAGGAAATCCAGAGACAAGTCGGTGATTTGGAAAAGAGGGGGGTGATTGAACCTTCCGACAGTCCATGGGCGGCAAATGTTGTTTTGGTTGACAAAAAGGATGGCACGAAACGCTTCTGTATTGATTATAGAAAGTTGAATTCGGTGACCATCAAGGATGCCTATCCTGTGCCACGCATTGATGAAACATTCGATGCGTTGAGTGGGGCGAAGTGGTTTTGTACACTTGACTTGGCGTCGGGGTACTGGCAAGTCGCTCTGGATGAGGACGCCAGCCAAAAGTCGACATTTGTAGTGAGAAGCGGGTTGTACCGGTGGAAATGCATGCCTTTTGGGCTGTGCAATGCCCCGGCAACATTTGAGCGGCTCATGGAAAAGGTCATGGCCGGCTTGCAATGGGAAATCCTACTGATTTATTTGGATGACATCATCGTGTTTGGTCGATCGGTGACGGAGACCCTAGATCGTCTCCGAGTTGTGTTGAAGAGGCTTAGAGACGCTGGGCTCAAACTCAAGCCCAGCAAGTGTCATTTGTTTCAGAGGTCAGTGACTTACCTTGGGCACATTGTGTCCTCGGAAGGGGTAGCCACGGATCCTCAGAAGATCGAGGCAGTCGCAAAGTGGCCGGTCCCGAGGTGTGTACGAGATGTTAGAAGCTTTTTGGGCCTCGCATCGTACTACCGGAAGTTCATAAAGGGGTTTGCAGAAGTGGCAAGTCCACTTCATGCCTTGACCGAGAAATCAAGAGAGTTTGTGTGGACTGAGAGTTGTCAGGAGGCATTTGACGAGCTAAAGGGCAGGCTTCAGGCCGCCCCAGTTCTGTCATACCCAATGCCCGAGGGCGACTTTATCTTGGACACTGATGCCAGCGGTGAAGGTATCGGGGCGGTGTTGTCGCAGGTCCAGGGTGGTGACGAAAAAGTGCTTGCGTATGCGAGCCGGAAGCTCAGCAAACCTGAGCGAAATTACTGTGTCACTCGTAAAGAGTTGTTGGCTGTGGTTGTGTACTTGAAGTATTTCAAACAATACTTGTACGGCCGCAGGGTGACGGTCAGAACTGACCATGCCGCATTGCGGTGGGTACTTAATTTCAAGAACCCCGAGGGTCAGCTGGCGAGGTGGATGGAAGTCCTGTCCCAGTACGACTTAGTGGTTGAGCACAGAAGCGGCAAGAAGCATGGTAATGCTGATGGGTTGTCGAGGCGGCAATGCAAACAGTGCGGCCGGGAGGAGGTGGTCAACGAGGCAATTGGTGTAGTACCCGAGGTTCAGCCTCAGGGGAGTGAGTTTTTGGTTAGGGGTGTAGCTGCCCAACCAACCCTGTCTCGAAGTGCTTTAAAGGAAGCACAGTCACAGGATGACACCATGAGCTGGCTCAGGAAGTTGAAGGAGGACGGCGATAGTCGTCCTGAGTGGAAGACGGTCTCGCACTTGTCGGCAGCCTGTAAGACCTATTGGTCACAGTGGGACCAGTTAGAGGTCCGGGAAGGAGTTCTACATAGGCGATGGGACTCCGATGACGGGAAGTCCATCCGATGGCTGTTGGTGTTGCCATCAAAGTTCCGGAAGGAAATTCTGTCTGAGTTGCACGGTGGGCAACTTAGTGGTCACTTGGGGGTTAGCAAAACTCTGGCCAAAGTCAAAGCCAGGTACTTCTGGCCAGGCATGTCTGCGGACGTGCGGTCATTTCTCCGGGGCTGCAATATCTGTGCTAGGAGAAAGTCGGCTGCTAAGAAGAGGGTTGCGCCCCTACAACAGTATCGAGTTGGTGTTCCGATGGAGCGAGTAGCAATAGACTTGCTCGGGCCATTGCCCGTCACGGACAATGGTAATCGTTGGGTGATGGTGGTTGGCGACTACTGCACTAAGTGGATGGAAGCATTTCCGCTTCCTGATGCTACTGCAGTTACAGTAGCGCACACATTGGTGACTGAGTTTGTCTGTCGATTTGGGGTGCCCTAAGAACTTCACTCTGATCAGGGCACAAACTTTGAGTCAGAGGTGTTCAGTAAAATGTGCCAAATCCTCGGCATATCGAAGACTCGGACAACCGCCTATAATCCGAAATCGGACGGCATGGTTGAGAGGTTTAACAAAACCTTGGTCAACATCGTGGCGGTGCTGATTGACCCTGGGCGAAGGCAGAAAGATTGGGATGAGTTCCTCCCCTTTGCCACCTTCGCTTACAGGTGCACGCCGCAAGACTCGATCGGGGAATCCCCCAACATGATGATGTTGGGAAGAGAGGTTAATGTCCCAGTGGATCTGGTGACAGGGTGTCCTGAGGTTGAGGAGGAGGTGACTGCAGACTTTGCCGAAAGGTTGCGAAGTGATATGCAGGAGGCCCATAAAAGGGCTAGGGAGTGCCTCGGGAAAAGTGCCCGGAGGCAAAAGAAGAACTTTGACAGAAGAGCATCTGAGCATGGGTTGAAGGAGGGCCAATTTGTGTGGCTACACAACCCTGCAAAGAAAAAGCACATGTCCCCTAAATTACAACTTAGGTGGGAAGGACCATGGCTGATTCTTAAGAGGTTGTCAGATGTGACGGTTCGAATCCAGCTTAAGCGTGGTAGCAAACCAAAGGTTGTCCATGTGGACCGACTCAAACCATATGTCGGTGAGGCCATCGAATCTTGGGATTGTCCATCAAGGGACGAGGTGACAGAAAACCTCCCCATGGTGACCGAGGGTCAGTATGACCAAGGTTCAGTTGAGGAGTTGGTAGATGAGTACCCTGTGGTGGATGAGGCCATTACAGAGGAACCAGTTCCAGATTGTAGAGTCAGTCTGCCCGAGAGGCAAGACATGTCACCGCCCAGGCGGTATCCTAAGCGGTCACATAGGTTGCCCCTGCGGTTTCGCTAAGATAGTAGGTGTGGCTTTGATTCCATAATTGTTTTCTGGGTGAGGTCGAAACTAAGTTGTGGTGTATATATTTTGAATTCTTCTTTCCTTTGTGTTTTTCAGGAGTTGAAGAAAATTGAGTCGCAGCATGACGAAGGGTGAACCGAGGCGATACAAGTGCCGTGAGTGTACCAGTTGGTACCTGCATCGGGCAAGCCTATGGCGCCATATCAGAGACATCCATGGGCCGGCGACGAACACCTTGATGTGTAGCAGGTGCGACTACGTTGCAGGTCAGGTGTATATCCTCCAGCATCACATGGAGACGGTACACAAAATTGGTGTGGTGAAGGGTGCAGCTGGTCCTTCCCAGGCACCAGAGTCTTGGAGCTTCAGTACGGTGACAAAGGTCGCAGAGAGCCGTGCAGCAGGTCCGGGTACGTCCTCCGGTGCTGGTTTGCCACCGGCAGCAGTGCCAAGTGGGGTCACGCCAGTCGTCGATGCATTGTCCCTGTCAGCCTCACCAATCCAAGAATCCCCGAAAGTGTCAACCTCGCCAAAGTTGGTTGTCCCCCCTTTTCGCCCCTTGGGAGGCAAGCCGAAGGGGATGATGCAGATGGTGAGAGCGGCCGAGGCCACGTCCCCATCCTCAGCATCACAGTCTTCATCCCAGGAGGAAGAGGAGATGTTCCCCACTCAGAAAAGGGAGGATCCTCCGAAGAAGAGAAGGCGCACAGCTACCGTCCGAGAGTACACCTGCATGCAGGTTTTTCTCGATGGGAAAGTGGTCAAGACGGACGAACATAACAGCGTCTACACGAAGCAGATAGAGGTAGATGATGAGGGAAAGCCAACAGGGAAATAAACAGGACGACACGTTCAAGTTTGGGTTTATGTTTCATTATTCTGATTAACCAAGTTTTCTTAAGGTTTCCGAAGTGTTGAACATTTCAAAGTTTTCCAAAAAGTTTTATAAAGTTAAGGTTTATTGTCGGTAAAAAGAGGGAGAAAAAAATAAATAATAATAATAGAATCAGTCTTAAAATCATATAGAAAAATCTTACAAAATCTGCTGATGTGAATTTTGATGTATAAAGAAATCTTCATTTTATATAAAACAGAAATCCTAATTAACAATTTCGTAGATCTTGTAAAACGCCTAATTTTTGCACTGGGTGATTTCTCGTAAAAACAAATTGTGTAAATATTAAAAATTGACAAATTCGTAGCTAAGACTCTGTAAAATTTATCCTAGTCAAATCATGTAAAATTTTGAGTTGAGGAAATCTTACATCATATTTAGTGTGTAGTTCATGACATTCCAGCAGGTGATCAAGCGAAAAATTATTCAGAGCATTTATATTTTAATCGTTGTAAAATCAGTGGAAATAATCTGTAAAATTTCTTGTGAATTTTTTAATGAGCTGAATTTAAGGAAAATTGTGTACGATCATTCCCTGTTAAATCTTGTGAATATTTAATTAGCAGCAAACTTTGGTGTTCCTGTACATGTAGAGTACATGTAAGGCAAGTGCCCTTATCCGGTGTATAAGAGCTTGTGAATATTTAATGAGCTTTGAAATCTGCCCCCCCCTTATGTTTTATATTATAATTTAAAGAAAAAGTTAAGCTTTAAGTTTTATATTATAATTTAAAGAAAAAGTTAAGCTTTAAGTTTTATATTGTAATTTAAAGAAGAAGTTAAGATTTAGTCACACTTTCCTTTTATTTTTATTTATGGCTTAGAGTTGGGGACAATCTCTGCCATTGGTCGGGCCCATGTGACGGAAAGTGTAGTTTTATGCCCTTGTTCATGTTATTGTATTCTAATCTTATGAATGAACTGTAGTATAGTACGCCCGTGACTGGGCGTGGCTTAGCAGTCAGGGTGTGCGTGTATGCACGCGATTGGTTAACAAAGCCCCATATGTTTAGTGCATCATAATGGTTTAGTGCATGTGCTATGTATGCGCGTAAGTAGATTGCTACGTACGTAGGCGCGGGAGGTTCTGGCAAGTGGCAGCGAGCTGTACGAACGTGAGTTGAGTGTGCTCTCGCTGTGGCGTGTATTGCTATATGGTGATTTGCGCTATATGCTAGCTACGCGCGGGCGAACTGTTGGACAGTTTAGCCGTACACTTGTGGGTGCATTGTGGTTGATTGGGGCTGGGCCCATGGTTTCGTAGTGCTACGTGCGCACAAACCATATCTCCACAGTGGCACTGAGCTATGCAATGCGATATTGTTTAAGCAGTGCAGCATTGGTTGATGCGTTGCTGTAGTGTTTCTATATTGCAGCATTGGTTTGTGCATTGCTATAGCGTTCATGTATTGCAGTATTAGTTGTGCATTGCTATAGCGTTCCTGTAATGCAGCATTAGTTTGTGCAGTGATTATTGGAGTGAGCAGTGCGATATTAGTTGTATATTGCAAATAGGGCTCATATTCGAAAACCACAGGTTGTAATAAAGCTACCCAAGACAATTACTCCCAAATCATTTAATCATTTAATTGTTGTCTCTGAAATAAATCATCGTGTTACTTGAGATTACCGACCATTCAGTTGCCAGTTTTCCTTGTTATTGTGTTATTGCCTAGTAAACAGAAGGTTTAGGGATCAATTCCTGCGGCGGTAGATTTCCACCCAAAACGAGCCTGCATCCTTAGCCTTTAGACTGCTTTGTGTAGTCCCTGGTCCAAGGAATAACTTGGTTCGGGAACAGTCCCGCCACAATACTTACATTCCGCGTAGACTGGACAACTCCTCCATGGCAAAACCATGCAGTTCTTTCATCGATGTATTTGACAGGTCCCTGTAAAAGACAAAAGAGGGAACATTTGGGTGATTTCAAAAAAGTCCGCAATTACTAAATAAGTAAATGATACAGCAATCACTCCAAAAACCTTTAGAGGCATTATTTTAGCCATGGATATCCAATCGCATTTTTGGCCCATACTGAAAGTTTTGATGACATAGAAATTAAAAAAGAATTTGAACTATAATAAAAGTCGTGTTTTGTTTTTATAAAGCGCACATATCCACCATTATTGGTGCCACAGGTGCTCATCATTAGTACTCATTCGGTCAATGAAACATTCCAAAGACAATCTCACTGCTCTCTGAGTGTGGAGTATACAGTTTGAAGCTGCCATTTCAGTGCAAAGCAGGTACAATCAATCAAAATAACAATCGCTGCCGTCACAGGTACCCATGTACCCCTGGGTGCGGAGTAGAAATGAGTGCCAAAGTGCCTTGTCGAAGGCCGGTCACATGCACTATAACCCCAGGCTGGAATCGAACCCACAACTTGCAGAATTACCTGCAGACTGTGAGTTTCATGACCCAGACCAAGAGGCCACCGGTGCTTACAAAAACGTTCAGATGTAAAATTGTAACTCACAGCCACAACAGACTTTCCAGGCCGTAAAAAGTGCGTTCCTGTATCTCGGATATGACATTGTTTTTTAATGACCTATTCAAGACAAAAAATAATGACAAGTTACATTAAAAAATAAAAAGTGATTATAATGGAAACGCAGAAAGTAACAGAATGATGGATATACAGATAAATAAGCAAATGAATGAAAAATAGCAATCCCACAATTTGACAGACTAAGACAAACATCTTATTTTAAATTTATTCTTAATTGCCTTCGTTACTGAAAACAAATTGCACTATTTCGGAAGCCAAAAATCCTCTGAACACAAAAAGGCTTGTTTCTATACTCACAGCACTTTGAGATGTGATAACGCTTTGAACATTCCCTGGTCCAGCTCACTAAAGTTGAGTCCGGAGAGCTGACTACAGATTGAGGAAAAATAACATGTAGTTTTGGACAATAGGAATTATATATATTTTTTAAATATCAATATGTAACAATGAACACTTTTTGGGACAGACAATAAAAACTAACCAGGCTTATTGCAGCAATTTAGGGAGGTATGCAAAATTGAACAGGCAATTGCAAAAAGTTGTGTTTTTCTTTGTGTAGAATAAAGAACATCCGATAATGTTGATCTTACTTCAATAAACTCGGAATCAGTTTTGTTTGTTCCCAAAATAGCTTGTTAAGGCAACCTCCTTTGCTCAAAAATGTGAGCTTTAAAGAATTTCCTAGTCGAGGAACATTTTGGATGACGACAACTTACAGAGTATGTGTTATTAGTGCCAGGTCGTCTAATGTCGAGGAATCCCAGCCATTGTTGCAATTGACTACCAAGTCTGTGCCCTTGTAGCTACACTTGCAACCAGCGGGACATCGCTTCACATCTATGATCATAGGAGGACAGAGTTATAATCGAGTTTGTCACAATGTGTAATGTAAGGTCATAAGTCAGTTGACAAGACTGGTCACAAGTGCCGTCTCAAGTCAGGTCCGACAAGTTAGCTCACAATCTGGGTCACAAGTAAGGACACAAGTCAGGACACAAGTCAGGTCACAAGTCAGGTCACAAGTAAGGACACAAGTCAGGACACAAGTCAGGTCACAAGTCGGGTCACAAGTCGGGTCACAAGTCGGGTCACAAGTCAGGTCACAAGTCAGGTCACAAGTCGGGTCACAAGTCGGGTCACAAGTCGGGTCACAGGTCGGGTCACAGGTCGGGTCACAGGTCGGGTCACAGGTCGGGTCACAAGTCGGGTCACAAGTCGGGTCACAAGTCGGGTCACAAGTCGGGTCACAAGTCGGGTCACAAGTCGGGTCACAAGTCGGGTCACAAGTCGGGTCACAAGTCGGGTCACAAGTCGGGTCACAAGTCGGGTCACAAGTCGGGTCACAAGTCGGGTCACAAGTCGGGTCACAAGTCGGGTCACAAGTCGGGTCACAAGTCGGGTCACAATTAAGTCGGGTCACACGTCAGGTCACAAGTCGGGTCACAATCAGGCACATACAAGTCTGGTCAAAAGTCGGGTCAACATCTGGTATACAAGTTAGGTCACAAGTTGGGTCACTAGTCAGGTCACAAGTCAGCGCTAGGTCACACAGCAAGTAAACATACCGCACTGAATTTCGTCGTCATCAGGTTCTGGGCAGTTCTTCTCTCCGTCACAAACCTGCGTCATTGGAATGCACTGCGCCCGAGGGAGGTCGCCAGTGAAGGAAATAGACAATGAACTGGTGTCGAGGTTGTTGCACTTGTAGGAACCTGGGCAGAAGATGTCGTCTGTTGTAAAGATTTGGGAGGAAAAAAATGACATCGGTAAAGTGGAATACTCACGTGTCGATCTACGTCTTTATGACACGTTTTGTTTTACAATGACGCTACAACATTTTAGATGGGTCAGGAAGTGGAGTCAAATAAGAGCGATGCACCTTCCTGCGGTGTTGTAGCTGAGTTCATCACAAAGTCTATTACAAGTCCAGTCACAGTTGGAGACTATGGCTGGTGGTCCGTTTCTTGCCTTCTACCTCTGTGGCCAGCCCGAATCCTGCCCAAGTCTGCATGTGGATGTGTTCCCTGCATTAATTAACCCATTATAGTCCCTGTGCTACCCAAAAGCACTCTGCCTGCTACTCCTCACCACAGCCACCAATTTGAATTTTTTTTTTAAATTCCTGTGGAAGACAAGCTTCAGGTAGTAAACACTATAATCTATTTGCCACAAAATAAATGGTGAACTTGTTCCAGATCATTCTGACTCACACTGTACAATGTTTTATTTGTGATAATGGGTTAACTAAGGCTTGCGAGCGACAGTGCCATGGGTCTTTTTGAGGAATCCTTAGTTGATCCATTGCCATAAGTAAGAAATATTAAAGACAATTTGAGATGACATACCGCAGTTCAGTTCATCTTCGTAATTTATGCAATCCAGGTAACCATTGCAGCGGGAAGAATTGGTGACACAAAAACCTGTATAATTGCCGCAATGGAACTCATCAGGTTCACACAATGCTGAACAACAAAAAACGAAAAGAAAAAGAAAGAATCACATCAATACTCAGTATTGTAAACTGAAATAAAATAAAATTTCTGTAGATTCTTGCATGTAATTTCTGTCATTTAGAGTACATTGTTGACTACCTTGAATTTTATATATGTATTAATTTTATTGCTATAGGAAAACTTAAACTGAAGGAACATAAGTCAGAGACAAAGTAGGGGTTTTCAATGGAGAGTTCCTTCAAGACTGCACACTGGGAATGGCTTCGATGATGATCGAGTTATTACAATCTTTCCTAGACTGCACAAAAGAGTGATAATAAATATGGGTATACCAGAAGTATGGTAATATGCTGTCAATTACTTCACCCGCGCTTACTCGTGCAAGCGCGACAGCGTACGATTTTACTTCTCGCGCTTACTCGACCCTGGCCAAATAACGGACTCGCTGATCCGGTTATTGGGTAAGTATCCCATAAGGCCATGCAATAAACATGGCTGCCAACGTGACGTCCGGCGGGCGCGTCAGGCCGCGTGCGAAACAGGTCTAGAGCAAGGAACAGACGGAGCTACGTCTTTTGTCTGCGCGTCTCCACGTATTTTTAATGGACATGGACTGACATCTAGATCTAGACAGTTGATTCGGATGCGCAGCCTGCGTCAGGTCAAAGTTCAACTTTCCAGCTCTTGCACGAAACTTTACCCGAAACCGTTCGTTTAGTTAGCTCCACTGCGAATGTCTGTCATCCCGCGAGGAGCTAGGCGCGAGTAAGCTGGGGAAGTAATCGAACGGACCCAATGAGTTCTTCCATTGGAGAACCCTCACTAGATTAAAAAGCTGATAATGTCATTGAGACAGGGTACCAGACTTACCCTCCAAATCCTCTTCTTCAGTGTGACTTATCACAATAAAGAACCCACGATGTCTTCTGGATACATCTGTCTTCATTTCCAACCTGAGAACTCCAGCCTCACCATCCCAGGTCACCGTCCGCCTCGAAATATCCTCCCCTGTAAGACGAAACGTTTGTTTTGGCTCCTCCCCCTCCCCAGGAAAAATGACCTCCAAGTAATCTCTGGATTCCTCCATTTCAAATTCCTTGATCCGCAGGGTCACCAGTTGCTTCAATTCACTTTTGATGAGCCAGATGCAGTTGAGGTCGTTCGGGTACAGGTTTGGGTAGAGCGGTGATGTGATGTTGATGGGATATTCGTACACGGAGATGATTTGTGGTCTGCATTCACCTGTTGTAAAAGTAGGAAAACTAAATGTTAGTTTTCAAAATTGATCGAAATGCTCAAGTACGGACAGAAGGTGGAAATTATGGGAAAACAGATTGCTACAAGTAGGATGGAAAAAGTAGGTACCGACAGATCAAATCAGAAGTTTGGTCGCAAGCACATCATAAGTCAATCACAAAAGTAGGAACGAAAAATAACAAAGGATTACTTTCGTTACAGCTCATTTGAATAGCTTTTAAGTTGACTTAGGACTGGATTACTTATCCTTTCTCTTGCATTTTGTTCATTTCTAATAAGGCAAATCCGTAAAATCAAACGTATGTCTGACCATATGATGTGCATGTACAAGGTCGATTAGTCGGTCTCTGGTCAGCGCGCGCGTCGATTTTAATCATGCGCGTCAATCTTTTTTTTCCAAAATGTTCCGCGGTAGCTCCAACAGTGCCCTCTATTGCCGCACCTCCTCATATTTTTTTTACCAAAGAGCACCAAGGAATGGGAAATTGCACCAAGGCAAATGATCGAGGGCACCAAGGCAAATTATGGAGGACACCAATGTACATGAGGACACCAAAAAAGCAAACTAGTACATGTCTGTACAATCCAAGCTTAAAAAAAAAAAAAAAGCCGCGTCGCCGCATCAATTCCGGAACTTTAATTGGCCTGACCAGAGACCGAGTATTTTTTTTTTGGCCTGAGGTAGAGGTACCTAATACTTGGGTCCAATCGTTTTTCTACTCATATGTCACATTAGTAGTGATGTATCATAGATTCACTTTTCCAACAGCAGCTCGTAAATACGTCCGAGTATACGGAATTGCCCAATAATAACCGCTCAAAATCTACTGAATTGAATGTGCAAAACTTAACCAGCTCACGTTTTAGCTCAGTGTTATGATACTGTTCGAGACAACAGTGACAGATCATGCACTTGAGCTTTTCCAATGATTGTTCAATTGACTGCTCATTGGAAATCACCTACATTTCTTGTTTTCTACTAAATGCCAGCAATTAGCCTGACGGAAGAATTTCACGGGGCGTTTGGTACCATTATACAGTCTCTATTAAGCTCTTTTGGGAATAAATGCAGATGAACCTATATGCTTTTAACAGAAGCCAGTTGCAAAATGATTTATGAATTATTCTTACCGCAATTAGATTCATCTGATTCATCTGGGCACAGTGCAAAGCCGTCACAGGTGTCGTCAAGCGCCAGACAAATCAAGCCAGATGATGTATTCCGGCATGTAAATTCATCTTGTCCACAAGAAACTACAGCAAAGAGCAAACTTAAATAACATGTACGGCCCTTAACGTTCTGCAGTCGAATCTCCAAACTTTTCACAATGGCATCTAGCAACAAGCAAAATGTCACATTGTCCATTTCATTTATGTTACATTTCGCAAACACGTTTGCGTTGCATTATAAGTCTCCAACTTCCACAACATTATGGCTTTCACTTCGGTAGTGGAGGTTACATTTTACATATGGAAAAGGGACAATTTTAATGACTGTTACTGATCACTGGAGGGCCTTTCATTGGTCACTCTCCGACTTATTTATGTTGACGTAAGAAATGAACGGCTATGGTGTTACGGTACATGAGTAACTATTGCAGTACCCTTGACAAAAGTTTGAGTGTTGCCGCCTGCTTCTGAAGAATCTCAAACAAAGCTTTTTTTCCAAAATGGGTGCAGCTATTGCAAGCATAGAAGCTATGGCAAGATTCAACATAGCTGATTCAACAACTGTTTTGTGAATGATGTCTTAAAAGCAACGATCATCCTTGTCCAAGATGTTTGAAATATTCAAAACGTTTTTCAATCATCGCAAAGGCAATGTGTTGTGTAAATCCTTCGAAAGAGGTAATGCACTGTTCCGTGAAAACCATCTGCACGACAACTTCAGGAGACATTGCATTATCTTATAGAAGCTGGTACTCACCTTCAGATTTTTCTTGTGTGATTGTTACTTCGAATCCAATCTTGGTGAGTGAAATATCGCTCGTAAACTCCATCCATGCTGTGTTGTCATTGGAAAAGACAGTTAGACTCGTCAGGGAACCGCTAAAATGACCAACACTAGAGTCGCCATTGGAGGGTGCGTGGCCATTGCCGATGGTCACAATGTCGTAGGATTCCTCGGTATTGAACACGGAGAATCGGAAGGTTATTGCAGAGCCTACATCGGCTGTGACGAACCAACGGCACAGGGCGTTGTTGGGATATTTTATTGGGTAATACACTGAGGTCAGTCTTGCTGAAGTCTGCGTTGAGTTGAGAGTGATGTCACTTTCTCCGCAAGGAACTATGAGGAAGATACAAACACGAAGTTTCTTGTAAAACCTTGTACACACACGAGGTCCCCTTCCATGGAGAAACCACGGTGCATGCTATTGCACAAGGCAACTATGCCACACAGATTATCCCGACCTGACAATAGCTATAAAAATGCTTTTGCCATGAGAACCTTTATGGTAGAATTGATACTCGTGTTTATTTCAGAAGTCAGAGAAGATAAGTAAAGTAAGAAAAGATAAGTATGGTAAAAAAAACCTTTTGAACTAAAAAAAACCCCCAAAACTAAATTCAAATCTCTCTCAGTGTAAACAATCTTGACCTGAGCAAGTCAATGATATGCACTGCTATTTCAGTTGCGGATCAAGGAATTTGAAATGGAGGAATCCAGAGATTATTATTGTCGAGTCCAGTAGGGGCACTCTTGAACTCGAAGCAGCAGCCGAGTGAGACGGTGGCGATTATCCAAAGGGTGGTAGTCATTTGGTCAAAGGATCTGGCGAAATGGGCTAAAGTAGCTCCCACCTGTCCAGTGCTGGGTGCCTGTTGTCTGTGGGCACAGTAACTTCCACCAGCCGGACTGCAGCCGAAAGCAGCAGAAGAGGCTAAAGGATGAGCGGTGGCCTGAGGGTTTGTATGGCATGGAGCGATTGAGCAAAAACAAAAGGCTTGATGGCTGTGGCAAAGGACGATGGGGCGGCTTGGAGACTCAAAAGGGAGAGACAGTAGAGGTAGCTGGGGCCCGTCTTTCGGGGCCCAACTAAAAATTCGCTGAAAAGTGTGCAAGTGAGTCGGCCAGAAAGCATGTTGGCTGAAATGGGGGGGGGGGGATTTTTTGGTGACAACCCAGAACCAGTTATCAGACAGCAGGAGTAAAACTCCTGCATCTTGTCGATCAGGAAGGAGTACTGACTCTAGCGACGAGGAGGGCGACGCAGTTTGGGAATCACGGGAGTGGAATATCGGAGGCGACTTTATTATTCAGAAGCTGTTAGTCATTTGAACAGTCTTGGCTGTGTAGTTGGTCCGGGGTTCATGGGATCAGAAAACCCCAATACGTGAGCCACAAGGCGATAAAGCACGGCCAAGGAGGCTGGTATGGCCGTATCCATTAGTTCAGCCTCATGAGGAGATGGAAAAGAGGAGACATCTAGCTCCTGATGGGCTGGAGGCTCAGACTTCAAGTCCTAAGAAGAGCACCAAGAGAACTAGGAGCAAACACTGGGAAAATGTTTGGGGAGTCCATTGGGTAGGAAACAGTGCGGGGTATGCTAGGGTTCGGGGAGGCTGAGAGGGAGGCAAGCCCGGGTCAGCCGCGGTAGACAGGGTTTCAGACAAATTCTAAACTGCCTTAAGTAAGGTCTTGTCTCAATCACAATATTTGACTGACAGGGCTATCATAGTGTCTTTATCTGTCATCTTGCATTTCATCTGCTCAGGAGAGGAGTCACCATCATATTGTAGAGGGACCCAAGAAGGAGCCAGGAACTCTGATGTGAATGAACCACTCAGAGCCAGGACAGGACGAGTGTGCGATGGTCCAGGATAAAAATCAGATTTTTTTTGTTATGAGGAATAAACAGCTAATTGGGAGGCTTGCGAGCTACAGTGCCATGGGCCCTTTTGAGGAATCCTTGGTTGTACCAGAAATAAATGAAAAATATTAAAGATCTATTGAATGACAGACTTACCACAGTTAAGTTCATCTTGCTTATTTGTGCAATCTGGGTAACCATTGCAGCGGGACGAATTGGTGATACAGAAACCGTTGCCACAATGGAACTCATCAGTTTCACACAATGCTGAATAAAAATAAATACATAAAAAGTAATAACACCAATAAAAAAAAAGTTGAAAAATGAAAAATGAAAAATGAAAAATGAAAAATGAAAAATGAAAAATGAAAAATGAAAAATGAAAAATGAAAAATGAAAAATGAAAAATGATCAATGAAAAATGCAAAATGCAAAATGAAAAATGAAAAATAAAAATAAAATGAAAATGGAATAAATGAAATGAAAAATTGATGGAAACTTTTCTTTTTTCCATTTTGGAAAAGGTAAATTATCAATCTGACTTTAAAGGGGCTACATTTAGTTCAGATTTATCATCATCAAAAATTTTCCATTTTCAATTTTTGACTACTTTGAATTTCTTTTTTGGCCTATTTATTACTTTAATAATTATGACTATTGAACCAAATGGTAGATAAGTAAGAGACAAAGTAGGTTTTTTTTTTAAAAATCTTCAACAAAATGGGAAATTCTTACAAGACTGTACACTGAAAATGATGATGCTTTATTACTCACCCTCCAAATCTCCCTCGTCTCCAGTATAGTTCTGATAATGACTTATCAGCATGGAGAACCCACGATGTCTTCTGGATTCATCGGTCTTCATTTCCAACATGAGAACTCCGGCCTCACCATCCCAGGTCACCGTCCGCCTCGAAATATCCTCCCCCGTAAGCTCTATAGGCTTCTCTCCCTCCCCAGGAAAAACGACCTCCAAGTAATCGTAGCCTTCCTCCATGTCGAAATCCTGGATCCGCATGATGACCGGTTTCATCAATTCGCCTTTGATGAGCCAGACACAGTTGAGTTTGTTGGGGTACGGGTTTGAGTAGAGCGGTGACGTGAGGGTGATGGGATCTTCGTAGATGGAGATGTTTTGTGGTCCGCATTCACCTGTTTTTCAGAAAAATTGTGCTTTTGAGACCTAAATAATTGCTCAGGTACGCACAGGAGGTGGACATTATAAAGCAGATTGCAACAGTAGTATGGATACAGTGTTTGTAGTCAAGGTAGTTGATCAAGTGCATCACAAGTTTGTTTGCAAGCATACACATCACGTCAATTCACAAGTATTTACAGAGGATAGTGTTTGACTTGGGGCTGGAAGATTGATTCTTTCTGCATGTTTGTACATACAAGCAACTCAGCAGACGCACCACTGACCTCTTAAAGGCACGTACGTCAACTTCCTTTTTTGATTCATTTTGTTCATTTCCAATGAACACTTCTCAAAACCCACCCCAACCAGCATAGTTTTTGCTCAGATGATATTACTTTTTAAGAAAACAGTGACAAACCATGAGCATTACCTTTTGATCTCGGAAACTACTTTTTAAAAATATTTTCAATGATTATTCAACTGACTGTATCATTGGCATCAACTACATCTGTTGTTTTCTTGTGACAGCAAGACAGACGGCGTACAGTACCAGTGTTCAGTAACATCACAATTTGTATTCCAAGTACAAGTTTCTTGAGATTTGAAGGTTTGCATGGTGGAAAGATACTAAGGCAAGATAAGTTTGCGGTAGCACCATGTGAATAAATCTCTTTTTTGAGTATGTGTGGTTCTGAAAAGAACCGGAGGGACTCAACGTTTCGAACAGTATGCTCTGCCCGTTGTCAGGAGAAACAAGTTTCTTAACAATATTTCACAATGCAACAAGTTTCTTAACAATATTTCGGTTGACTACTTTTGGGATAAATTGAAATGATCCATATGCCTTTAAATTTAACAGATATCACCGAATCCGAATCATGCTTACGGCAATATGATTCATCTGATCCATCTGGGCAAAGCAGTACAAAATCATCACCATCACCACCACATGTGTCGTCACGTGCCAAACATGTCAAGCCAGCGGATGTATCCTTGCATGCAAATTCATTTTCTCCGCAAGAAACTGCAGCAAAGAGCAAAACAAATAACACGTAAGCTTCTGCAGTTAAATCTCCAAACTTTACACAATTGCAGCAACACATTTTGCATTACATTGACCTCACATTTCGCAAACACTTTGACTTGCATAAGTCTGCACTTATAACAGAAACTATGGTTTTGACTTTCGAGTGTTGCTGACTGCTTCTGAAGATTTGGAGACACTTTTTTTAAATGGCAAGAAAGGTGATTGAACAACTGTTAACGTTTGTTTGCATAAGTTTGCAACTTATGCAACAAACTATAGATAAGATGGCATTTTGCGTCGGGGTGATGTAAATCAAATTAGGTTTTGCCCTTCACCGACGTATTCACCGACCTTACACTCGGGAGGTAACACACTGAGTATACAGTGTTTATACGTCAGTGAAGGGCTAAACCTAATTTGATCAACAAACCATGGTTTTGACTTTTGAGTGTTGCTTACTGCTTCTGAGGATTCCTTGTCCAAGATGCTGGAAATATTCAAAACGATGAACAGCATACCAATTTTAATGAAATCAGTTGTAAATATATATTGTACAAAGGCACTTTGTGTAAATCCTTCGAATGATATAAGTTATATGTACTGTTTCCGAAAATCAGATGCAAGACAACTTCAGGAGACATTAAATTATCTTTTAAAGTTGCTTCCTACCTTCAGATCTTTCTTGTGTGATACTGACCTCAAATCCGATCTCGGTTACTAAATAATCGCTGGTAAACTCCATCCATGCTCTGTTGTCATTGGAAAAGACAGCTAGACTCGTCAGGGAACCACTAAAATTACCAATAATTGAGTCACTTTCGGACGGTGCGTGGCCGTTGCCGATGGTTACCTTGTCAACTTCTTTCTCTGTATTAAACACTGAGAACCGGAAGGCTATCACAGAGCCTACATCACCTGTGATGAACCAAACGCACAGCGCCTTGTCGCGATAGTCATTTGGGTAATACGGCGAAGTCAGTGTTGCTGAAGTCTGCATTGAGTTGTTGAGAGTGATGCCACTTTCTCCACATGGAACTGAGGAAAACAACAGTGGATAGAAAAATCAGAAAAAGGACTGAGAATTCTTGTAAAACCAAACAAATAAGGTATGACTGTGCCACGAATGTGCAATGAAATGTAGACGGGTTTTTTTTGTCCGGACACTCGGCTCTGCAAAATCAATAGGTGGGTGGGGGGGGGGAGCATTATTCTTTATGAATTTCTATGGAAATTTAGAGAGAGCATTTTTTTTTTTTACTCCCCCCCCCTTGGATCTGCTCCTGCACATTCAGCTAATACATATATATAAGGCTGTGTGCACGAATAGCAGATGGCCCTTCAATAGTCCGGTTTGGGGAGACAATTTAGGGCGAGCCCGATCGCACGCGAATGCGCAAACTACTCAAGACCACTTTTTTTCAGAGGAGAGACCCCCTTCCATGGAGAAATGTCTGTGCACTGCCCCGTAATGGATTGTCTTTATTAAACAATAGCTGATTACAAAATGCTTTTCCACTGAAGTGGACCCGGATTGGTCTATGCTTGGGAACTTACAGCAGTTCATCTCATCCAACAGATCGAGACAGTCAGGTATCGCATTACATACGTCCTGAAGCGCATCAATGCAACCACCATCAGGACACATGTACTGATGCTCAGAGCATGACCCTGCCAAGAGATACAAATCAATGTAAGCTAGGTTTACATATCTCACAGCCACCATCATTGAGGAACAAGCCCGACAGAGACCTGCATTTCAAAAACTGGTAGTCGACTGCTCCGCAGCCGACCGATGATGATGATGATGATGATGATAATATATCAATCCCTCAATTTCAAGTACGAGACAGGTTGCCACACTACATAATCAAGCCACATGCATCATGTACGCACTTGCACGCACGTCCAACTGTTGTGCACGTATGTCGGATATTAATCACAGCTTTGATTGGTCAAACCACCATAGGATGAGTCTTAGGTAGGGGGTGAGTGCCGAGTCATCAGGTTTGAGTCCTTTAGTCTGAGTCACAAGTCACTTGATTAGAGTCTGATTCTAAACCTTGTGTCATTTAGATCGAGGGGAATCAATCAAGTCCCGATCACTTGGTTTGAGTTCGAGTCACAAATCACTTGATTCAAGTCTCAGTGTAAATCATGTCAGTTATTAAGTTGAGTGTGAGTCTCAATCACTTGGTTTGAGTCCGAGTCCGAGTCTGCGTCAATTCGAGCCTAACTAACTCTCAACCATGTATCACTTAGGTCGAGGGGATCGATCAAGTCTCAGTCTCTTGGTTCGAGTCTGAGTCACTTGATTCGAGTCTGCAGATGGGTCTGGGTTACAAGTACCATGATTCCAGTTTCAGTCTGATTTTCAAGTCACTCAGGTAAATGATTCCCAATTCACTTGGTATGAGTCATAGTCTGATGCAAAAATCACTTTATTAAAGTTTGAGTCCGAATCTTAAGTCACTTAGGTTGAGTCTGAGTCTCAGTCGCAAGTCACTTGATGCGAGTCTGAGTCTGAATCTCATGTCACTCAGGTTGAGGGTGACTGAGTCACTTGGATTTTGAGTCTGAGTCACAATGCACTAGATTCAAGTCTGAGTTTAATTTGAAATTCGCTTGAGTCACAAGACACCTGATTCGTATCTCAGACCATTACTCAATCTAAAAACAACCTGAGCAAAAATTTAAGATTGAAGATACTCACCACAGCCAATTTCATCCCCTTTCATAGGGCAATGTGGGTACCCATCGCAAAACTGAATCTGTGGTATGCAGGCAAGGCCGGAGGGGCAGGCAAATTCATCTTCGTTACATTCTAAAAACAAAACCCACGAAGCAATAAATACAAAAGTATTTATTCTGGCAACTACCAGAGCAATGAATTTGGTATCTGTAGAAATACATAGTGTGTGGTTAGGGTTCGTGACTCATTATCAGGGGTCAGGGGGTTCAAATCCTGCTGCTGGTCTTATGTTGTGTCCTTGGGCAAGCCAATTGTACCTCTCGCTGCCCAGGAGTAAAATGGGTAACATCGGCAATAGCTGGGAGAAAAACCTGAAAAGGACTGGTATCCCATCCAGGAGAAATAGACATATACTCTCTGCCGTTTAATGCAAGGAAACCGCTAGCTCGATAAGCCATATTGGCTCGGACTAGACTATAAATACGTAACAGAAACAGAGAGTATAAACTTTTAGCCATCGAACTCACCTACTGGCCTTAGTTCCTCGATTTCCAATTTCAATTGGTGGGCAGACATCATGCTTGAAGAGTTGAGTGCTATCCACAGACTGTTAGTTTCTGAAATTATATACAGATGGGTGTGCGTGCCATGGCTGCTCATTGCCTCCACGTTCGAATCCAGTACTTCCCCATGACCGAATGATAAAGCAGTGTCTTCCGATAGCATGTATTCCTTGAAGGTGATCTTGATGCGGTATCCCCCGGAGGCGGTGATATGCCATACGCAGGTTGAAGTTTGATGTGGAAAGTTGATGTCGTCCATCTCGTAGCTTGTTTGAAGAACGTAAAATTGGCCGTCGGTCACATTGATGGTAGAGATTCCGCCACAATGACCTGTTTTTGACATGATAAAACAAATTAAAATAAAGGTTTCATAAGAAAGAGAAGATCCGTCGGGTAAAACAAAATATAGAACAAAAACACTTCTTACTCTCTCCCAGCACCATTCCTGACTTGTGCAAGTCAATGATACACTGTCTGAAGTTTTTACTGCACTCCTTGACCTTTTCAAGGATAGCTCCGACCATATGCTGTCAGACTACAGTATGTCCCAAAAATTGTCCGTCTGACTGTTTTTAAAATACACAATGTGTTCCACAAAACCAAAAGGTCAATTTTGAAAATGGGTGGTTGTGCAGATACTCGTGAGCTTTGGCCTCAACCCCTACATGAGTTCCATTGAATTTCAGTCATGCATTACAACGCAATCCTCAATTGAGCACAACAACATTTGTTTGACACTGTGACCAAGTTCCATGCCATAATCAGTTTCAGAGCTGTGTGATGTAGCTGTGTAAAATTCTACATGTTGAAAAAAAAAGTTGATGTGGTTTGGGATTGGAATAATTTTCCCTTGAGCATTCAATTGATGTCTTGCCATGATGACTGATAGCCAGGCGAATGATTCAAATTCCAAATGCAGCCCTTCAACTGCAGTGACAAACCGTGCACAACCTTTTGATTACGAAACATGATTTTGTATTAATTTAACAAATATAGCGAGTCCCTTCTCTGCTGGTTAATGTAGGACACCACAGTCAAGATTTGTCGCAGCAGATAAGAACAGATTGACCCTGCACCATATGCTTTTAAAGCGGTGAAGGGCCTTGAAGAGGGTTCTTCTCGGAGTGGTAAGAATTGTAAAACGTTCTTTGTAAACATCGCTGGTATTTCTTCTTTGACTGCTTGGCGTAATTGCAAGGTGGTCCAGTCCAGTGGGCCTTTGTGTCGGGACACTATTGAACTCGAAGCAGCAGCCGAGTGAGACGGTGGCGAGTATCCAAAGGGCGGAAGTCATTTGGTAAAAGGATCTGGCGAAATGGGCTCAAGGAGCTCCCACCTGTCCAGTGGTGGGTGCCTGTTGTCTGTGGGCATAGTCACTTCCACCAGCCGGACTGCAGCCGAAAGCAGCAGAAGAGGCTAAAGGATGAGTGGTGGCCTGAGGGTTTGTATGGCATGGAGCGATTGAGCAAAAACAAAAGGCTTGATGGCTGTGGCGAAGGACGATGGGGCGGCTTGGAGACTCAAAAGCGAGAGCCAGTAGAGGTAGCTGGGGCTCGTCTTTCGGGGCCCCAGAACCTTGCCACGGGTAGACCAACTAAAATTCGCTGAAAAGTGTCCAAGTGAGTCGGCCAGAAAGGGAAGGGTGGAGCCCTGCATGTTGGCTGGAATGAGGGGGGGGGGGAGATTTTTGTGACAACCCAGAACCAGTTATCAGACAGCAGGAGTAAAACTCTTGCATTTTGTCGATCAGGAAGGAGTACTGACTCTAGCGACGAGGAGGGCGACGCAGTTTGGGAATCACGGGAGTGGAATATCGGAGGCGACTATATTATTCAGAAGTTGTTAGTCATTTAAACAGTCTTGGCTGTGTAGTTGGTCCGGGGTTCATGGGATCAGAAAACCCCAATACGTGAGCCACAAGGCGATAAAGCACGGCCAAGGAGGCTGGTATGGCCGTATCCATTAGTTCAGCCTCATGAGGAGATGGAAAAGAGGAGACATCTAGCTCCTGATGGGCTGGAGGCTCAGCCTTCTAGTCCTAGGAAGAGCACCAAGAGAACTAGGAGCAAACACTGGGAAAATGTTTGGAGAGTCCATTGGGTGGTAAACAGTGCGGGGTATGCTAGGGTTCGGGGAGGCTGAGAGGGAGGCAAGCCCGGGTCAGCCGCGGTAGACAGGGTTTCAGACAAATTCTAAACTGCCTTAAGTAAGGTCTTGTCTCAATCACGATATTTGACTGACAGGGCTATCATAGTGTCTTTATCTGTCATCTTGCATTTCTTCTTCTCAGGAGAAGAGTCACCCTCATATTGTAGAGGGACCGTACCCAAGAAGGAGCCGGGAACTCTGATGTGAATGAACCACTCAGAGCCAGGACAGGACGAGTGCGCGATGGTTCAGGATAAAAATCAGAATTTGTTTGTTATGAGGAATAAACAGCTCATTGGGAGGCTTGCGAGCTACAGTGCCATGGGCCCTTTTGAGGAATCCTTGGTTGTACCAGAAATAAATGAAAAATATTAAAGATATATTGAATGACAGACTTACCACAGTTAAGTTCATCTTGGTTATTTGTGCAATCTGGGTAACCATTGCAGCGGGACGAATTGGTGATACAGAAACCGTTGCCACAATGGAACTCATCAGTTTCACACAATGCTGAATACAAAGAAATACATAAAAAGAGAACACCAATAAAAAAAAATGTTGAAAAATGAAAATGAAAAATGAAAAATGAAAAATGAAAAATGAAAAAAGGAAAAATGAAAAATGAAAAATGGAAAAACAAATGAAAAATGAAAAATGAAAATAAAAATGAAATAAAAATGGAATAAATGAAATGAAAAATTGATGGAAACTTCTCTTTTTTCCATTGTCCATTTTGGATATGATAAATTATCAATCTGACTTTAAAGGGCCTACATTTAGTTCAAGATTAACATCATAAAAAATTGACAATTTTCCATTTTCCATTTTTGACTACTTTGAATTTCTTTATAGGCCTTGTTATTACTTTTATAATTATGAAAATTGAATCAAATGGTAGATAAGTCAGAGACAAAGTAGGTTTCTTTTTTTGAAACCTTCAACTTAAAGCGAAATTCTTACAAGACTGTACATTGAAAATGATGATGATTTATTACTCACCCTCCAAATCACCTTCGTCTCCAGTATAGTTCTGATAATGACTTATCAGCATGGAGAACCCTTGCTTTCTGGTGTCTCGATTGGTCTTCATTTCCAACCTGAGAACTCCGGCCTCACCATCCCAGGCCACCGTCCGCCTCGAAATATCCTCCCCCGTAAGACGAAAGAGCTCTCTAGGCTGCTTCTCACCCTCCCAATGAAAATCGACCTCCAAGTGATCGTAGTCTACCTCCATTTCGAAATCCTGGATCCGCATGGTCACCGGTTTCATCAATTCGCCTTTGATGAGCCAGATGCAGTTCATATCGTTGGGGTACGGTTTGGGGTAGAGCGGTGACTTGAGGGTGATGGGATCTTCGTAGATGGAGATGTTTTGTGGTCCGCATTCACCTGTTTTTCAGAAAAATTGTGCTTTTGAGAACTAAATAATTGCTCAGGTACGCACAGGAGGTGGACATTATAAAGCAGATTTCAACAGTAGTATGGATACAGTGTTTGTAGTCAAGGTAGTTGATAGATCAAGTGCATCACAAGTTTGTTTGCAAGCACACACATCAAGTCGATTCACAAGTATTTACAGAGGATAGTGTTTGACTTGGGACTGGAAGATTGATTATTTCTGCATGTTTGTACATACAAGCAACTCAGCAGACGCACCACTGACCTCTTAAAGGCACGTACGTCAACTTCCTTTTTGGATGCATTTTGTTCATTTCCAATGAACACTTCTCAAAACCCACCACAAATAGTATAGTTTTTGCTCAGATGATATTACTTTTTGAGAAAACAGTGACAAACCATGAGCATTACCTTTTGATCTCGGAAACTACTTTTTAAAAAATATTTCCAATGATAATTCAACTGACTGTATCATTGGCAATCACCGACATCTGCTGTTTTCCTATAAATGACAGCAAGACAGAGGGGGTAGTTTCATAGGGTGCAGTACCAGTGTTCAGTGCCACTACAATTTTTTTCCAAGTACAAGTTTCTTAACAATATTTCGGTTGACTACTTTTTTGATAAATTGAAAAGATCTCATATGCCTTTAAATTTAACAAATTTAACAGATTTAAGTAATTTGGAAACTTTTTACCGAATCCGAATTATGCTTACGGCAATATGATTCATCTGATCCATCTGGGCAAAGCAGTGCAAAGTCATCACCATCACCACCACATGTGTCGTCACGTGCCAAACATGTCAAGCCAGTGGATGTATCCTTGCATGCAAATTCATTTTCTCCGCAAGAAACTGCAGCAAAGAGCAAAACAAATAACACGTAAACTTCTGAAGTTAAATCTCCAAACTTTACACAATTGCAGCAACACATTTTGCATTACATTGACCTCACATTTCGCAAACACTTTTACTTGCATAAGTCTGCACTTATAACAGAAACTATGGTTATGACTTTCGAGTGTTGCTGACTGCTTCTGAAGATTTGGAGACACTTTTTTTAAATGGCAAGAAAGGTGATTGAACAACTGTTAACGTTTGTTTGCATAAGTTTGCAACTTATGCAACAAACTATAGATAAGATGGAATTTTGCGTCGGGGTGATGTAAATCAAATTAGGTTTTGCCCTTCACCGACGTATTCACCGACCTTACACTCGGGAGGTAACACACTGAGTATACAGTGTTTATACGTCAGTGAAGGGCAAAACCTAATTTGATCAACAAACCATGGTTTTGACTTTTGAGTGTTGCTTACTGCTTCTGAGGATTCCTTGTCAAAGATGCTGAAAATATTCAAAACGATGAACAGCATACCAATTTTCAGGAAATCAGTTGTTAATATATATTGCACAAAGGCACTTTGTGTAAAACCTTCGAATGATATAAGTTATATGTACTGCTCCCTAAAATCAGATGCAAGACAACTTCAGGAGACATTAAATTATCTTTTAAAGTTGATTCCTACCTTCAGATCTTTCTTGTGTGATACCGACCTCAAATCCGATCTCGGTTTCTGAATAATCGCTGGTAAACTCCATCCATGCTGTGTTGTCATTGGAAAAGACAGCTAGACTCGTCAGGGAACCACTAAAATGACCAATAATTGAGTCACTTTCGGACGGTGCGTGGCCGTTGCCGATGGTTACCTTGTCAAGTTCTTTCTCTGTATTAAACACTGAGAACTGGAAGGCTATCACAGAGCCTACATCACCTGTGATGAACCAAACGCACAGCGCTTTGTCGGGATAGTCATTTGGGTAATACGGCGAAGTCAGTGTTGCTGAAGTCTGCACTGAGTTGTTGAAAGTGATGCTACTTTCTCCACATGGAACTGAGGAAAACAACAGTGGATAGAAAAGTCAGAAAAAGGACTGAGATTTCTTGTAAAACCAAACAAATAAGGTATGACTGTGCCACGAATGTGCAATGAAATGTAGACGGGTTTTTTTGTCCGGACACTCGGCTCTGCAAAATTAATAGGTGGGGATAGCATTATTTTTTATGAATTTCTATGGAAATTTAGACAGAACATTTTTTTTTTACTCCCCCTCCCCCTTAGGTCTACTCCTGCACATTCAGCTAAAACATATATATAAGGCTCTGTGCACGAATAGCAGATGGCCCTTCAATAGTCCGGTTTGGGGAGACAATTTAGGGCGAGCCCGATCGCACGCGAATGCGCAAACTACTCAAGACCACTTTTTTTTCACAGGAGAGACCCCCTTCCATGGAGAAATGTCTGTGCACTGCCCCATAATGGATTGTCTTTATTAAACAATAGCTGATTACAAAATGCTTTTCCATTGAAGGGGGCCCGGATTGGTCTATGCTTGGGAACTTACAGCAGTTCATCTCGTCCCACAGATCGAGACAGTCAGGTATCGCATTACATACGTCCTGAAGCGCATCAATGCAACCACCATCAGGACACATGTACTGATGCTCAGAGCATGACCCTGCCAAGAGACACAAATCAATGTAAGCTAGGTTTACATATCTCACAGCCACCATCATTGAGGAACAAGCCCGACAGAGACCTGCATTTCAAAAACTGGTAGTCGACTGCTACGCAGCCGACCGATGATGATGATGATGATAATATATCAATATATCAATCAATCAAGTCCCGATCACTTGGTTTGAGTTCGATTCACAAATCACTTGATTCAAGTCTCAGTGTAAATCATGTCAGTTATTAAATTGAGTGTGAGTCTCAATCACTTGGTTTGAGTCCGAGTCCGAGTCTGCGTCAATTCGAGCCTAACTAACTCTCAACCATGTATCAATTAGGTTGAGGGGATCGATCAAGTCTCAGTCTCTTGGTTGAGGGTGACTGAGTCACTTGGATTTTGAGTCTGAGTCACAATGCACTTGATTCAAGTCTAAGGTTAATTTGAAATTCGCTTGAGTCACAAGACACTTGACTCGAATCTCAGACCATTACTTAATCTAAAAACAACCTGAGCAAAAAATTAAGATTGAAGATACTCACCACAGCCAATTTCATCCCCTTTCATAGGGCAATGTGGGTACCCATCGCAAACTTGATTCCGTGGTATGCAGGCAAGGCCGGATGGGCAGGCAAATTCATCTTCGTTACATTCTAAAAACAAAACCCACAAAGCAATAAATATAAAGTATTTATTCTGGCAACTACCAGAGCAATGAATTTGGTACCTGTAGAAATACATAGTGTGTGGTTAGGGTTCGTGACTCATTATCAGGGGTCAGTGGGTTCAAATCCTGCTGCTGGTCTGATGTTGTGTCCTTAGGCAAGCCAATTGTACCTCTCGCTGCCCAGGAGTAAAATGGGTAACATCGGCAATAGCTGGGAGAAAAACCTGAAAAGGACTGGTATCCCATCCAGGAGAAATAGACATATACTCTCTGCCGTTTCATGCCAAGGAAACCGCTAGCTCGATAAGCCATATTGGCTCGGACTAGACTATAAATACGTGACAGAAACAGAGAGTATAAACTTTTAGCCATCGAACTCACCTACTGGCCTTAGTTCCTCGATTTCCAATTTCAAATGGTGGGCAGACATCATGCTTGAAGAGTTGAGTGCTATCCACAGATTGTTAGTTTCTGAAATTAAATACAGATGGGTGTGCGTGCCATGGCTGCTCATTGCCTCCACGTTCGAATCCAGTACTTCCCCATGACCGAATGATAAAGCAGTGTCTTCCGATAGCATGTATTCCTTGAAGGTGATCTTGATGCGGTATCCCCCGGAGGCGGTGATATGCCATACGCAGGTTGAAGTTTGATGTGGAAAGTTGATGTCGTCCAGCTCGTAGCTTGTTTGAAGAACGTAAAATTGGCCGTCGGTCACATTGATGGTAGAGATTCCGCCACAATGACCTGTTTTTGACATGATAAAACAAATAAAAATAAAGGTTTCATAAGAAAGAGAAGATCCGTCGGGTAAAACAAAACATAGAAAAAAAACACTTCTAAATATCTCCCAGCACCATTCCTGACTTGTGCAAGTCAATGATACACTGTCCAAGTTTTTACTGCACTCCTTGACCTTTTCAAGGATAGCTCCGACCATATGCTGTCAGACTACAGTATGTCCCAAAAATTGTCCGTCTGACTGTTTTTAAAAGACACAATGTGTTCCACAAAACCAAAAGGTCAATTTTGAAAATGGGTGGTTGTGCAGATACTCGTGAGCTTTGGCCTCAACCCCTACATGAGTTCCACTGAATTTCACTCATGCATTACTGCGCAATCCTCAATTGAGCACAAATATATTTTCATTGGGTTAGCCAAAGCGAGAATTTACATTTGAATGGAATCAGCAGAGTGTGACATTAAGGTGTGGTTGAACAGGCGTGTTTAAGTCACTGACCGAATTCACCAGCAAGCAGTACGGACGTCAAATGTTCATGAAAATGTGTTAATGACTGATATCGCAATTGATTGCCTCTAATCCAGCCACTTGTTATCCAGCTTCATTATATTGACAGATACAGTAGAAGTAGAATGCCGTTAGCAGACGATTTCCTATCTTGGCAGTCAACTTTCATCCTACAAGCACAGAGACGGAAACTCAAGACCTTGAGTTCGGATACTTCTGTCTCAACACAGCTTAAACTGTCTCTAAGATAGCGACGCATCCTGAGCCGTGTCCGCGCAATGCTTGCCATCGAAGTTCGATGTTTCCCAAATGGATTACATTATTTGTTGTTGTTAACCTATTTTCTTGCAGGTTGGGTAATACAGGGTGGGAAAATACGAGGGTAGGCGGCATTGAAAATAATTTATTCGCGATTGAGGGGCGAATTAGAGAATAACAACATTTGTTTGACACTGTGACCAAGTTCCATGCCATAATCAGTTTCAGAGCTGTGTGATGTAGCTGTATACAATTCTACATGTTGAGAAAAAAAGTTGATGTGGTTTGGGATTGGAATAATTTTCCCTTGAGCATTCAATTGATGTCTTGCCATGATGACTGATAGCCAGGCGAATGATTCAAATTCCAAATGCAGCCCTTCAACTGCAGTGACAAACCGTGCACAACCTTTTGATTACGAAACATGATTTTGTATTAATTTAACAAATATAGCGAGTCCCTTCTCTGCTGGTTAATGTAGGACACCACAGTCAAGATTTGTCGCAGCAGATAAGAACAGATTGACCCTGCACCATATGCTTTTAAAGCGGTGAAGGGCCTTGAAGAGGGTTCTTCTCGGAGTGGTAAGAATTGTAAAACGTTCTTTGTAAACATCGCTGGTATTTCTTCTTTGACTGCTTGGCGTAATTGCAAGGTGGTCCAGTCCAGTGGGCCTTTGTGTCGGGACACTATTGAACTCGAAGCAGCAGCCGAGTGAGACGGTGGTGAGTATCCAAAGGGCGGAAGTCATTTGGTAAAAGGATCTGGCGAAATGGGCTAAAGGAGCTCCCACCTGTCCAGTGGTGGGTGCCTGTTGTCTGTGGGCATAGTCACTTCCACCAGCCGGACTGCAGTCGTAAGCAGCAGAAGAGGCTAAAGGATGAGTGGTGGCCTGAGGGTTTGTATGGCATGGAGCGATTGAGCAAAAACAAAAGGCTTGATGGTTGTGGCGAAGGACGATGGGGCGGCTTGGAGACTCAAAAGCGAGAGCCAGTAGAGGTAGCTGGGGCTCGTCTTTCGGGGCCCCAGAACCTTGCTTCGGATAGACCAACTGAAATTCGCTGAAAAGTGTCCAAGTGAGTCGGCCAGAAAGGGAAGGGTGGAGCCCTGCATGTTGGCTGGAATGAGGGGGTGGGGGATTTTTGTGACAACCCAGAACCAGTTATCAGACAGCAGGAGTAAAACTCTTGCATTTTGTCGATCAGGAAGGAGTACTGACTCTAGCGACGAGGAGGGCGACGCAGTTTGGGAATCACGGGAGGGGAATATCGGAGGCGACTATATTATTCAGAAGTTGTTAGTCATTTGAACAGTCTTGGCTGTGTAGTTGGTCCGGGGTTCATGGGATCAGAAAACCCCAATACGTGAGCCACAAGGCGATAAAGCACGGCCAAGGAGGCCGGTATGGCCGCATCCATTAGTTCAGCCTCATGAGGAGATGGAAAAGAGGAGACATCTAGCTCCTGATGGGCTGGAGGCTCAGCCTTCAAGTCCAAAGAAGAGCACCAAGAGAACTAGGAGCAAACACTGGGGAAATGTTTGGGGAGTCCATTGGGTAGGAAACAGTGCGGGGTATGCAAGGGTTCGGGGAGGCTGAGAGGGAGGCAAGCCTGGGTCAGCCGCGGTAGACAGGGTTTCAGACAAATTCTAAACTGCCTTAAGTAAGGCCTTGTCTCAACCACAATATTTGACTGACAGGGCTATCATAGTGTCTTTATCCGTCATCTTGCATTTCTTCTTCTCAGGAGAGGAGTCACCCTCATATTGTAGAGGGACCCAAGAAGGAGCCGGGAACTCTGATGTGAATGAACCACTCAGAGCCAGGACAGGACGAGTGTGGGATGGTCCAGGATAAAAATTAGAATGTGTTTGTTATGAGGAATAAACATCTAATTGGGAGGCTTGCGAGCTACAGTGCCATGGGCCCTTTTGAGGAATCCTTGGTTGTACCAGAAATAAATAAAAAATATTAAAGATATTTTGAATGACAGACTTACCACAGTTAAGTTCATCTTGGTTATTTGTGCAATCTGGGTAACCATTGCAGCGGGAGGAATTGGTGATACAGAAACCGTTGCCACAATGGAACTCATCAGTTTTACACAATGCTGAATAAAAATAAATACATAAACAGTAATAACACCAATAAAAGAAATGTTGAAATGAAAAATGAAAAATGAAAAATGAAAAATGAAAAATGAAAAATGAAAAATGAAAAATGAAAAATGAAAAATGAAAAATGAAAAATGAAAAATGCAAAATGCAAAATGCAAAATGCAAAATGCAAAATGCAAAATGCAAAATGCAAAATGCAAAATGCAAAATGAAAAATGCAAAATGCAAAATGCAAAATGCAAAATGCAAAATGAAAAATGAAAAATGAAAAATGAAAAATGAAAAATGAAAAATGAAAAATGAAAAATGAAAAATGAAAAATGAAAAATGAAAAATGAACAATGAACAATGAACAATGAACAATGAAAAATGAAAAATGAAAAATGAAAAATGAAAAATGAAAAATGAAAAATGAAAAATGAAAAATGAAAAATGAAAAATGAAAAATGAAAATACAAATGAAAATGGAATAAATGAAATGAAATGAAAATTGATGAAACCTTTTCTTTTTTTCATTTTCCACTTTTGAAATGATAAATTATCAGTCTGACTTTAAAGGGGCTACATTTAGTTCAAAATAAACATCATAAAAAATTGATAATTTTCCATTTTCCATTTTTGACTACTTTGAATTTCTTAATATACCTTTTTATAACTTTAATAATTATGAATATTGCACCAAATGGTAGATAAGTCAGAGACAAAGAAGGTTTCTTTTTTCAAAATCTTCAACTAAATGGAAATTCTTACAGGACTGTACACTAAAAATGATGATGATTTATTACTCACCCTCCAAATCACCCTCGTCTCCAGTATAATTCTGATAATGACTTATCAGCATGGAGAACCCACGATGTCTTCTGGAAAAATCGGTCTTCATTTCCATCCTGAGAACTCCGTCCTCACCATCCCAGGTCACCGTCCGCCTCGAAATATCCTCCCCTGTAAGACGAAAGAGCTCTCTAGGCTGCTTCTCTCCCTCCCAATAAAAATTGACCTCCAAGCGATCGTTGTCTTCCTCCATTTCGAAATCCTGGATTCGCATGGTCACCGGTTTCATCAATTCGCCTTTGATGAGCCAGATGCAGTTCATATCGTTGGGGTACGGTTTGGGGTAGAGCGGTGACTTGAGGGTGATGGGATCTTCGTAGATGGAGATGTTTTGTGGTCCGCATTCACCTGCTTTTCAGAAAATTGTGCTTTTGAGACCTAAATAATTGCTCAGTTACGCACAGGAGGTGGACATTTTAAAGCAGATTGCAACAGTAGTATGGATATCACAAGTTTGTTTGCAAGCATACACATCACGTCAATTCACAAGTATTTACAGAGGATAGTGTTTGACTTGGGACTGGAAGATTGATTCTTTCTGCATGTTTGTACATACAAGCAACTCAGCAGACGCACCACTGACCTCTTAAAGGCACGTACGTCAACTTCCTTTTTTGATGCATTTTGTTCATTTCCAATGAACACTTCTCAAAACCCACCCCAACCAGTATAGTTTTTGCTCAGATGATATTACTTTTTGAGAAAACAGTGACAAACCATGAGCATTACCTTTTGATCTCGGAAACTACTTTTTAAAAATATTTCCAATGATAATTCAACTGACTGTATCATTGGCAATCACCGACATCTGCTGTTTTCCTTTAAATGACAGCAAGACAGACGGGGTATCATAGGGTGCAGTACCAGTGTTCAGTGCCACTACAATTTTTTTCCAAGTACAAGTTTCTTAACAATATTTCGGTTGACTACTTTTTTGATAAATTGAAATGATCCCATATGCCTTTAAATTTAACAAATTTAACAGATTTAAGTAATTTGGAAACTTATTACCGAATCCGAATTATGCTTACGGCAATATGATTCATCTGATCCATCTGGGCACAGCAGTGCAAAGTCATCACCATCACCACCACATGTGTCGTCACGTGTCAAACATGTCAAGCCAGCGGATGTATCCTTGCATGCAAATTCATTTGCTCCGCAAGAAACTGCAGCAAAGAGCAAAACAAATCTCCAAACTTTACACAATTGCAGCAACACATTTTGCATTACATTGACCTCACATTTTGCAAACACTTTTACTTGCATAAGTCTGCACTTATAACAGAAACTATGGTTTTGACTTTCGAGTGTTGCTGACTGCTTCTGAAGATAATGAGACACACTTTTTTTAAATGGCAAGAAAGGGTGATTGAACAACTGTTTCACGACCCCTATCTTAAAAGCAGTGATCATCCGTGTCCAAGATGTTTGAAATAATTAAAATGTTGACTCGACATCATTACAATTTTCAAAATCTGTTGCGTAAATCTATCGAATGACATAAGTTATGCAATGTTCCATAAAATCAGCTGCACAACAACTTCAGGAGACATAACATTATCTTTTCAAGTTGCTGCTCACCTTCAGATCTTTCTTGTGCGATTGTTAAATTAAATCCGATCCTGGTTCCTGAAGAATGTCTCATAAACTTCATCCACGCTGTGTGGTCATTGGAAAAAACGACTAGACTCGTCAGGGAACCACTAAAATGACCAATGATGGAGTCATCATCGGAGGGTGCGTGGCCGTTGCCGATGGTTACCTTGTCACTGTCTTTCTCCGTATCAAACACGGAGAACCGGAAGGCTATCGAAGAACCTACATCACCTGTGATGAACCAAATGCACAGTGCATTGTGGGGGTGGTTGTTTGGATAAGACACTGAAGTCAGTGTTGTTGAGTTGTTGAGAGTGATGTCGCTTTCTCCGCATGCTGTGGAGGATAAACAAAAGAGCAGTGGATGGCAAAATCAGAACAAGTACCAATTGGAACAACCCACGGCGACCGGGTAGCTGGCTTACAACACCGTGCGTGTGCGCGCACCTGGGCCGTATACCGGTACCCGGAGAGTACAGAAGATGAAAAAGAAATGGGAACTGTGCTTGTTCGAATTTATACGGACAGTCTTACCTGAAATGGCCCGCCCACATTGCCACCAAATAACCAAATGAGACGTAAGCCCTCTGATGATGCCACACTTTGTTTATGACTACAGTGGAATGCTGCTATAACGAACATCGCAGGACCCACAGAAATTGTTCGTAATGGCGATCGTTCGGCATAGCGATTTTAAGCTGCCGGTGCTCCGATTCTCATTTTTCAATAAATAGCGCCCTTCAGAACTTCACCCTGCACGTCTTGGTACTTCTAGTTTCTGAAAGATGACTTTGAACGTCGAACACGTTCCGACTATTGAATGTGATTAGAGATTGTGAGCGGTACCTACAGCAATGGGTAGCTTTCCCCTTCTATTCCTTGGGGAAATAATAGCCACTTTTCGCATCAATATTTGGTACATTTGCACACAAAATGTGCCGGGTTACCTCGTAACAGATTCAAGCGATGCGCGAGGAGGGCGACGCAGTTTGGGTTGTTTTATGGGCTCTTTGGGGGAATCCGTGGTTTTAACCAGACATAGGTATGAAAAAGGAAGGGCAACTTTGGACGACAGACTTACCACAATTAAGTTCATCTTCATAATTTTTGCAATCAGGGTAACCATTGCAGCGGGACGAATTGGTGATGCAGAAACCTTTGCCGCAATGGAACTCATCAGTTTCACACAATGCTGGAAACAAACGCAGTAATTACACTAAATATAAAACACTTAATGAGCAGTATCGTCAAATGAAAAAAACATGGGGATATTTATGTCAATTATTGCATGCAATTGGTGCCATTTAAGAGTAATATTGCTCACTACCTTGATTTGTTTTTACTTGTATTAATTTAATTTTTTATGGGCAAATGGAAACTAAGGTACATAAGTCAGAGACAAAGTAGGTTTTCACTCAAAATCTTTCAAACACGACTGTACACTGAGAATGGCTTGGATACTTGGTACAAAACATTCGATGATGAATTAGTACTTACCCTCCAAATCAGCCTCGTCTCCAGTATAGTTCTGATAATGACTTATCAGCATGGAGAACCCTCGCTTTGTGGTGTCTCGATCGGTCTTCATTTCCAACATGAGAACTCCGGCCTCACCATCCCAGGTCACCGTCCGCCTTGAAACATCCTCCCCCGTAAGCTCTATATGCTTCTCTTCCTCCCCAGGAAAAACGACCTCCAAGTAATCGTAGCCTTCCTCCATGTCGAAATCCTGGATCCGCATGGTCACCGGTTTCATCAATTCGCCTTTGATGCGCCAGATGCAGTTGAGGTTGTTGGGGTACGGGTCTGGGTAGTGCGGTGACTTGAGGGTGATGGGATCTTCGTAGACGGAGATGTTTTGTGGTCCGCATTCACCTGTTTTAACAAAATTTGCACTTTTCAGATTTAAACGAATCGCTCAAGTACGCACAGAAGGTGGACATTATAAGATCAGATTGCTACGTATGAATACAGTGTTGTACTCAAGGTACCAATAGATCACAAGACAGTGCATCACAAGTTCATTAAATAGCCTTTAAGTTGACTTAGGACGGGATGACTTATTCTTTCTTTTTATACATACAAGCGACACAGCAAGCGTACAACGGATCTCTTAGAGGAATGTATTTGCCTTTTCACAGTTATTCAAGTTTAGGATGGGGCCTAAACGCTGCACACTTCGACGTTTCCTCCGACTTTCTTCACGCAGAGTTGCCAAACTTCTTTGTTGATAAGCTTTAAACTCACTCAGTTAAATACTGGTCTTTCTCCTTGAATGCTGTTGCGCCGAATATTATTCGCCAATGATTACCTCGCAAGACTCGTCACAGCCCGGTGGTCTGCAACGTGAAGTGCTGAGAGGCTGCCTTGGAACAGCTGAGAAAGGCACTTATCCTGAACATCTCCGTCATATCGTTTCCTCAGCTGCTCCGCAAGTACAGAGAGGGGACACACTGCTGTTCCACCTATGGAAGGTATACCTGCAGAGTCTAGCGCCGGAGTGAAAACGGTTAAACTTGCGTGGGAGTTGTGTGGGAGGTCCATACCAAGGAGTCGAACAGTAGGCCGATGGTCGGTGATCCGTTCCTTAATTGTTCTTGGGGCTGCTCCTGTCTCATTCCTCTTCCCAAAAGTTGGTGGCTATCATAAGTTGTTCCAGAGTTAGTCCAAATGGATTTACGAGATGGTAGCCGCTGTCTGGGAGGATGGTCCTGGGAGATGGAGAGTGTCTTGGTCGCCATCCTAGACTGGAGCTTGCCGGATGCTGCCCTGTGACGGATGTGAGGGTGTGCGATATTGCACTGGACCGGCAACAATTCAGTGATGGTACAGAACGGATGACTCCCTTTTCCATTCAAATTTCCTGTTTACATCAGCTTTTTACCCCACCCCAATATTTTTACAGGTACCCTTTTTTAACAAGTGCCCTGCTTTATGAACAGGTGCCTTAAAAAAACTACACTACCATGGACCGACTACGATCCGACAACGCCCCGTCTGCTGATTTGAATCGCAGTACAGGATCTTATTCGAATCGTATAGTGTGCGGTCGCGATCGCCTTAAGCCAACCGACAATACTAGCCCACGCTCATAAAGAAATGCTTTTTTGAAAGTGTAGAACATTTCCATGCCTGAACTTACCGTAGCAGAATGCACCGTTTGCCAGAATGATCAGAAAGACAATGCGCCATTCTTGATGAGATCTCCACCACGTGGTCTGCATTGTTGAACGAGGCACTACAACTACACCTGACTTATATTGTACTTGTGAAAAAGACGCAACAGTCGAACGACACCTAAATGAAACAGAACAAAGGAAAACGCCACAATAGGTAAACTCTTTTTTTTTTTTTACTTTTTCTCTTGTTGAAAGGAAAGATTCCCCGCTGAAAGCTTATGTTGAGTGCATAACAACTAACCTGTTGAAATTTTATAGCTTAGTGGCTACTAGTGCGGAAAACAGAGAAAACATTTAAGGTTTTTTGGATTTTTTGTCTGTAACGTGCGCCTGGGTACACTTTTTGGCAACAACGTTAAATTTAATTGGATGATCACCGTCTTAAAATGGTTAGAATCTAATTTCTTTCTATACTTGTTTTCATGACAATAGATCTCCACGCCTTTTTTTTGTAACGGTTTCATGGTCCAATTTTGTCACTTGGATGGAACGAACATCAACTCTAATCCCAAGGTGTGCAAACTACCCTGACGTCATGAGTATGTCATCACACTCTAGAAACAAATTGGTTATGATAACCAATATCAGAAGGGTTTTATCCAGTTTTATTAGGCAATATGTGTCTAACCGACTTTTTGGGTTAAAATGACGAACAGACCTTACCCCACACTGGCTACGCCTCTGTGTTCTATTGTTTCGGACAAGCGGCAATAATTATACGTAATAATTATTACTATATATAATTGTCATATTTTGTGTGTGTCAGAGCAGGGGGGTCGACTCCTCACCCCCTGGATCCGCGTCTGCAGCCCGAACAAAAATGCGCCTGAGGTTTAATGCATGGACGGTGGACGACATCACTTAAAACAATTCTTTGTGCTTTGTTTGGACCTGTAATCAGTTTAATTAATTTTTAACTGATATTATCAGTTTAAATAATTCATTGTTTGAAATGCAGTCACATCAGTACGCGAATTCAATACATTTGTTGAACCATGCAGTGGTCAGAGTGTTTTTTTTAGCGCGTGTTCTGTGCTATAGCGCTTTTCTTCAAAATGGTACAAAAGTGGACATGAAACTTTCCCCAAATATGTCAAAAATACGAGACTATAACATATGTCGTTTGCACTTGTTTTGATAATTCATTTTATCACTGAAAGATAAAATACATTATTCTCCACGAACACACGGCTGGCTGAGTTTCAAACTCTCTGTTAATCAGCGGATGGTTGCTATGGTATGGAATTAGTAAACATATTGATTGCCCAAATTGCAGCTGGCCATCCATTGCTGGCATTAAGCCAAAAGTGCTGTTCATACGCAGAAGTTGATGTAACTTCCAAGGGAGATATAAATATTGATACATGTGATATGTCCACGCGCGCGCACAGACGCACTACGTGCACGCCGTGGATGAAAGGCCAGTTCGGCGTAGCTTTTTGAGACCGCAACAACAAAAATAAATTTCTCCTGGAATAAGCGTTTGTTCGCTTACATTCCATGGATTTTTCGTTCACATTTGAACTTCGGTTAGTGAACTTATGATTTGCAAATGTTATGCAGCTGACTTCAGTGATCTTTTGGGGTTTTGGAGACGGCATTTACGTATATCCTACGAGTACGACCATACAGCTTTTACAAGATGCCTCGTCAGAACGTCAGCACAAGCGATCCGCTCGCTTGTCGACATTTCATACGATTTGTCACAGCCGTCCAAGGTTTCCAGAACATGAATTCTCAGCGTTATAGGCCTAGGCCTACTCGTACTTTTTGGAATGCTGAATCACCACTGGATTATGTCAGCCGTCCATGATTGAAGCTTGTGTTGTCCTACTTGAATCATGGCCCGTCATAAGTTTACGGACACCGAAGTCCAGGTGCTAAATCAACGGTCATGACGGTGCGTTCCAGCCGAGTCCGGGCGGCGCATCCCCGCCCAGCTTTCAATCCGCCCCGGTGCTGGTGGCTGGTGTTCTCGGCATGCTTGACCGCGGCAACGTGTCGGCTAGCCCGACTGCGTCTGGCCGTACAGTACTATCGCAAGCTCTGTAGTACGGCCAGACGCCCGATGCTTCCACAGAGACTGAATTTTTTTGGCCGCCGATGTAGCGATTTTGCTACATCTTTCGATCGCGATTATCTTTTCATCCAGGACACAAATTTCCAAAGTTAAGGTTCGTAGTCGTAGAGCAACTCATACCTTTTCGAAAAAACGTCCTTTGGTTTCAATATTTTCATCCATCTGGCCACAAGACGAATTTCAGTCATCAGATTCCACAAATATCGTCCCCCATGCGATCCCCAATGCGATTTCAAAATGGCGGCCGCGCTGTAATGTATGCATTATGCGAGCGCGCTTGGGCAAGATAATGAATATGCATCATAGTTTATGACGTTTGTCGGACACTCAGCGCGGCTGGCCATACAAACACGAGGTCATGAATTAAGTACATTACTTGTAGACAACAGCCCAGTACGTGCATGCACACGTACGTCCGCCGCACATGTACATGTGTACGTACGGCCCCGCCGCACGCTTGTGGAAGATGATGACTGAAAGTCGTCTTTTGGCCAGATGGATGAAAATATTGAGACCAAAGAACGTTTTTTCGAAAATGTATGAGTTGCTCTACGACTAAGAACCTCAACTGTGGAAATTTTTGTCCTGGATGAAAAGATAATCTCGATCAAAAGATGTAGCAAAATCGCTACATCAGCGGCCAAAAAAATTCAGTCTTTTTGGAAGCATTCAGCGTCTGGCCGTACTACAGAGCTTGCGATAGTACTGTACGGCCAGACGCAGTCGGGCTAGGTTTCCTGAAGCTATGAGCATGAGCTATTCTTAGTGTGCGGTTGACTTGTTCATTCACTTTTGCAATTACTTCCCTCAACGGAGATACCTGGTCCCTACTTCATTTTATTTGAAAAAAAATAATTATTGAGTTTTATCAATAGTTTTGTTTTTGCAGCCAGCCATTTATGTTTAATAATATAATTAATAGGCCTTTGTTGGCCCTATATTACGACATGTTGAGGCATGCAGTGGGGCTTGTTTTGTTTTCCTAACATATAGGACTAAAACTCATGAAAGAATTAGCAGGGGCTAGACTCTAGCGCCTATTCAGTTATTTCATTTGTTTCTTTTGTATTTGTCTCAAATCGTGGCCAGAGTGCAAATGTAACCGTAAAACATAATAAGAAGTAAATGAATAATAAATAAATAAACTAACAAACACACAAATATAAAAAAAATATAAAAAAAAAAATCCAATAAGATACTAGAGCTAAAACAGCCCTGGGCAATTAATTAATTTTTCAGACCATTTCTAGTCTGACAAATGTTATTGTTCTGCAGCTAATTTGAGCCGATCTTTCGGCATTGGTTCCTAATACAATAAATAGGGGCCCGGGGCCTATAATAACACCGCGGTGCAACCTGAGCAGTTTTTAGCCAGTGCATGATGATATTAATGGTAGGGCCTACACAATTAAATGTAAAGACAGCACTTTAATGCAAATTTAAAAAAAAAAGAAGAAGAAGAAGAAGAGGAGTGACAGTGTCCCCACTGGCATGATTAATCTTGACAGTTCCTAAGATAAGATAGTACTTCCACATAAATTTGCGATTTTTGCCAAACATGACATGATCGCTGTTTGTCAGCGCAGCTGCTTTCGGAGCAGGTTGGCAGATCTGAGATCACTGGATGGGCACTATCTTAACCTATTTTGAAAAGGCATGTTAATTGTTAACCCAAGGAACCTGGCCAAAGAGTCCAAAAACGCAGTAGGCTCCGCTTGACAATGTGTAATTAACCCAACCTTGTATGATTGCAGCAAAATGCTAGATTCATTTTCACACAATTAAGGGGGACCTATTCATTCGAGGTATAGTTTCTCTCCTGTTTAGCTTGACATCCTTTTCTTTCACCTGGGCCAACTTGTGAAGCCATAGGAATTTATACTAACATTTAAAATTATAATGAAATACTATACTACAAACTTTAATAATTAAATAGTAATAATTTCTACTAATGCTATAACAGCGAGACTTTACCATAGACTTGTGCACAAACCTAAACTATCACCTAATCCAAGTTTACCTCTTATCTTTTCTTCACGAAATTTGGTGATTTTCTCGAGCTAGATAATTTGCAACACAAACATTCCTTGTCCTAAGGGTCATTCTAACAATAGGGTGACTCCAATTTGTCACCCCCACATGGCATGTTGCCAAAATCCAGATGTGACTTGCCAAATAAATTAAAAAAAAAAAGAACCTGTCGCCCATTTGTGGGATGCTGTAGATTATATAATAATAATGATGATAATGATAACAAACACCCTGACAAAACAAATAAAACAAACACCCCAACATCCCAACAAACAAACAACCTAACGAACACATAAACAAAAAATAAATGAATACATTTAAAAGATAGATATGTTTGCAAAGGATAGCTGCTGCTTTGAGTATTTTCTGTTGCAGGATGCCAGGGGATAGCACACGCTACAAATTGGTTTGGGACCGGGACTCATACCATCGAATGCTCTTCAGATTTGCAACATAGAGGTCTTCCAAGGTTGGACATCTTGTCAAGTTCGATTGGTACTGATCGTCCAGCAATTTGGCCAGTTTGGCGTCCAGATTATAAACTGTTGCCTAAAGGCGAATATCAGGAAAATAACTGTCAACAGGAAAAAAGCTGTCAACAGAAAAAGCGGCACACTTTTTTGACCATGACCTATTAAATTCTATGGACATCCATTTCAATTAAGTTGACGCGATTTAATTAAAAGCATGATGGCATTGAGGAGGATAATACAACATAAAGTGTACGCTAAGTTATATGATCTGTAGACACATACATTTAACCACACGTTGCGCGTTTACGTGCTTGACCCAGATCTTTAGCAGCCCAATTGTACTATTCATATGTAGGCCTACCTGTAAGTGTAATAATATTTCCCATTGTCATGTTAATGTTGATGCACCGTACTTAAGCCTCCTGCTGGTTATGATTTAAAAAAAAAAATTGGGCTTCAAAAACAAGGAACAGATAAAGCTGGTTAGAAACATTTCTTGACATGAAATGAATATTGCTAAGTAAATTACAACTTGGAATTTTCTAAATTGCATTCATGCTTTTGATGTCATTGTATTGGGTTGTAGGTTGTACATAGTCCTGGCTATTTTGTACTGTATTTTATTTTACATTGAACACGGAATACTCATCTTCAGGTAACAGTTTAAATGAATAGCTATACATTGACTGTTTACATTTAATAACGGCTACTTCAACAAGTTCATTGTTTGAAGGGGATTTAAGTAATAATTGTACTTTTGGAAGATAACATAAACAATTAAAAATTAAAAAAAAAAAAAATCTTTATGCCTCCAGATAATTGTGCTCCAAAAACTACAAAGAAAACTTGGTCGCCTATTTGGGGGCCGGAAGGGAATTTTTTCGATCTTTTCCACCAGGATGGGTTTCGTACTGGCTTTTCGCCTTTTTCAGGAGCAATAATAGCTAATTTGTTTAGTTCACGTTAGTGATACTCACAATAGGAGGTTGATATGTTGGGGATATTTCCCCTTACTGATTTAGATTAGATCTACCCACGGGAAAATAGTACATTTTGTCCTCTTTTTGTCCACGAATGGTTTTGCCACTTTGTAGGCCAGCTTAGAAGGTAGCCACTAACATTTCCCCTTTGTATCAATTGAATCTATATCGATCAGGATTGGTTTGAGAAATATATAAAAGTATTTAATCAACATTTGTAATTAGTTTTACCTCTTTTGACAACGTTATCCAATGATCAAGTTGATGCGTATGATTATAATACCTAACTTTGTAATGTGTATTATTATTATGCATGTTTAATTTTCAGCTTGTGTGGTTTAGGAAGAGTGCCAAAGATTTTACAGAGGTTAAAGAGGTTACAGCATTAATGATGTTTGCAACATTAACTCTTTAAAAAAAGAAAGAAATGGTAGCAGTTCGCACTCTATCCTCAGTTGGTAATAGTTATACACAACTCCAGTATTACCCTGGCGCTAGTATTTGTTTCGTTCAGTCTTTCTCTTTTGGGGTTCTACTCTTCGGGGTAAGGGTGTGAGGGTACTGCCTGTCGTCCCATGGGGCGCGCGTTGCGCGTTTGGCGAAGTTGGCTGGGAGCGACGGGCAGTGCCTCAATTCAAACTAAATAAACAAGTTGGGTGAATAGTTCTTAAGTAAAACCTTTGAATTTGGACGTTAAACATTTAACAAGTTGTGTTTAATCTTTGTAAAAAAGTACGCCAAGCACCCATTTGTACTGATGGGGCATGCCAACCGTATCTACGAACGGTGGACCAAATCGGTGTGCTTTAACTACAAATAACTTCTTGAGTAATATAGGCATATAAATACTAAAGTCACGTGACAAATACTTAAGTCATGTGACAAAACACTTTGGCTAGCATCCACTTGTTCTGGTGGGGCTAGTGAATGGTTGGCAAGCGTGCCAAGGTTTCGGGCCCAGTGATGCCAAGCATGGCAAGTATTTGGGGCAAGCGTGCCCCGTTTTTAGCTTGTTTAAAATGTTTCTAAGGCAAATATCTTTTAGCAAATAGGTAATTATTGGTATGTTATAGCTTGTTAACGTATTTACGGACATTTAATACAGTTAAACATTGACCGAGGAGAAATAAATTAGCGGCTCAAAAAATCTATGCCAGAAAAGTCAAATCAACTCTCACTGTGTGGTTTTGTGTGTTGTCTGAGAATAATTGCTACATATTTTTTAAAGTTTTCTTTAATTTGGGTCTAGATCATTGTGACTCACCCTTTATGTTACCCAATAACAGCAAAACTTCGGTGTCACGCTCAGTACAGTCAACATCCGCAGGCGCATAATTATAGATATCTAAGATACAGTGACCCCTAGCCACGTCATTGGTTATTCTTAAATTCTAAGCTTCACCACAGAGCACGTGAAACAGGCTTATAAAAAATAAATTGTATACCCTAACTATAATATTGTTGATTGTACAATGGTATTCTCACTAAAAGTTGACCTACATGCAGACGAGATACACAGCCAGCCAGAGTGTTTAGAATCTATTGAAGGCCATCCTCGTTTCAACGTCATATACCCCGTTTATTCGAATTGCAGCCTCAGGTCATCCATCATTGATATTCAAAGAGCTTCATGCAAATTCTGTCAACAATACCGAACGAAAAAGCTTCCACAAATAATCCCATATCCGCACGGTGCTGCCCCACTGCGTACGGATAGTTGTAGTCATGCTAGCTTTCCACATACCCGAACTATTGCCACGAATACCCCGATCTATCCCGGGAGAAATTAGCCCCGATTCGCTGTTTGTAAGAATAACTTAAGAATGAAACAAAAATAATCAAGATTTAGGTACGAATTGGAAGCCGAATCAGACCGAAAAAAAAGCCGACTGATTGCGATTTAGTGCAGAATAAAACCAAATTGTAGCGATTTTGTCAAAAATAATATACGAATAACTCAAGAATTACGCAGAATGACCCAGAATTATGCCGATTTAGTATATTCGTAAGTTATTATTATAATATTCGTACATTTCTTGATACACTCTCAAAACGCTGGTTAAAATTTTGTTGGTTAAAAAAGTTGGTTAAAATTGTAGCCAACGTTGTGTAAAACTGTCCAATTTTGCCCAACGTTTGCCCAACGTTGGTTAATTTGTTTTAACCAACCGTTGGGTTGTTCACCTCTTCAGCAACAGTTGGTAAAAGTAGTCCTTTTACCCAATACTGGTTAAATGTACCCGATTTTAACCATGTTGTTCATCGTGACGTCCATGTAGCATGGACTTGATGGAATTTAGTCTTTACTGTGGATAACCTCCGAACATCACAATGAAATGATTTCTGTACCATGAAAATTAATATTTACTGGTACACACCAGTGTTGTAGTCGAGACCGGATAGTCCGAGACCGAGACCGAGACCGAGACCAGCAAAAAGTGGTCTCGAGGCCGGTCTCGAGACCGAGACCGGTCTAGAGACCTACAACACTGGTACACACATGTTGACAATTATTATTTTACCATTGATGTAGTATTTAAATGTACTCAAGTGTTAGCATATTAAGTGCATGATTTAGTAAGCTGGAACAGTGGCCCATCTGGCACTATCATTTTTTTTTTGGTATAACAGTTTGGTATTTGAATTGCAGCGTTGATAGACGAAGTACTTAAACTCAGAAATTCACTTCCAAAAGTTTCTCAAAAAGGTAATCCTGGCTGATCAAAATCTCATTTAAGTGTTGCGACGTTTGCGATGTCAACAAAAACATGTGGCTAAAGTAAAAAGCATAATTTCTCTGAAAGATTTCGGTCTGAGGGCCTAAAAACCATTGTTCCCTAATTTAATGACATTCGGATCAGTCAGGGCTACTTTTTTGAGAGATTTGTTTTAGATGAGACAATGAATACTGGGTGCAAATTATTCGTCTATCAATTCTGCAGTTCAAATCCCATAGCGTTTAATACGACAACCCCAAAAAGGAAACATGTATAGTGTAAGGCAAACGGGTGTTTTCTAGTTCTAGAAGTAGGACTATTGGATGTCACAAAAGGGAGAAACACACCAGGATGGATGATGAGCATGTCCTCCTCCTCCAGTGAATTGAGAAGATGATTGTATGTGTATCATCAGTAGCACCATAAAGTGATGGATAAATTAGACCAGGGTCATAAACAGACAAGCACATGACCACCAGTGATTTTTACTTGCAGGTCTTGCATGCCGCCTGTCTTTTATACAGAATGTTGGAACTCATCATTTTTTTTTTAAAGATGTCCCAACAGAACGTTAGCGACAATAACCTTCGTCAATTTTTGGGCAAGTCCACGAATTCGCGCACGCTATGTCCCATACCGTAACCAAAGTTTAACCCTCTAAGATGGAGTTCAGCGTTTTTATTCTTTTTGGGGGCATCTGCAAGGAAAATACCCACAACGCCGATTGTCTAATCAAAGAAAATATGGCGTTATGTATCACAAAAGTGACCTTTTCTTGGACTTACCCTATAGTCACGACAAGGACACCAGGATACAGCTATGATGTCATCTGTAGTGACTGGTGTTTAATTGGTACCAAATCGAATGGCAATTCAAACCCTTGTCGACATAGTTGATCGTTAAATTGCAACCTGCACTCAAAAGTTGTACCACATTTCTGACCCTGTAAGCAGCAATCCTATATACTAGCAGAATGAATTGTCATGCACAAAAACAAGAATGGCTAACTCACCTATACATAAACTCCTCCACTGTACAGCACTACACACACAAGCTTGGCTCACAAGCAACCATGTTTGTAATCTCTTCCAGAAACCAAATCTACGAGTGCAATACTAGAAAGGTACAGTAACGGACGAGAACGGAATCCAACTTTACAGTCCAAGGCAAAGGCGCGCCGCAAATGATGCAGGCTAGTTATGGTACAGCTAGCTTTAGGCATGCTAGTTATGGTACACCTGACGTCATGATATGCATAACTGGACAATTGTCACGCCACGTGTGGCTCCCGTTTCCCATAAAATGTGTAACTGGTTCGCTTCCTTTGGATAACTGAACAAATCAGGTGATATTAGACTGGAAAGGGTGACCTCATAACACAAGTGTAAATGATGACTGGCAATGCCTCGTGTTTCTATTTTCTTATTGGTTGCCATTTTTTTATGTCTTTGCTATGCCACAGTTTGATTGGCCTACTTCTCGGTTAGATTAACGTTCAGTCAGGTAACATTTGTCTATTTTTGTACAAGAAGAAATACCTCTTCTCCAAAATAAAGTGCCTTCAGCGAAACTCGTGTCACGCCTAACACTGCACCATATTGGCACGCGCGTAGATATTTAAATGAGGTTGACCATACGTCATAGGTTATTCTTGACATCTAAGCTTCGCCATAGAGCACGTGAACTCGGTACATGAGAAATAAATGGTACCCAGACCATTGGTTGTACAATGGTATAATCACCAAAAGTTGACCAACAAACGCGTACACAGCGAGCCAGAGTGCTTAGGCTTTATAGAATATATCAAGTTCAGTAATCCTCGTTTCAACGCTCTGACCATACCATACTTGTGAGGCGATGTTCCTTTCAGAACACATCGCCCCACTATTTTAAATATAGAAAAACACCACCCCAGAAGAGGATCTTTAGAAAAAGGGACAAAAGGAACACAATTCTCACCCGACAATTCCGTCTGGCTGGGATGTCGTGACCCCGTCTATTCAGTTTGCATTCTCTGGTCATCCATCGCTGACATTCCTAGACCTTGATGCAAATTCTGTCAACAATACAAAACGAAAAAGCTTCCACAAACAAGCCCATATATGGTTCTGCCCCGCTGCCTCCAGATATTCGTACGCCTAGTAAAAGGAAAAATTGCGACTAAGGAACCATTGCAAGTGCAGAAGTACGTGTCCCTCATCTTGATTGGACATTGTCCCAGTAAAAAGGTAACCCAGAAACAAAGGGAAAATATGAACAAACTATGAATTTTATTACCGTAATTATGGTTCAAGAGCCCGTCATAAACTAAACAGTATGCTTGGATGCACACATCTTGTCATGCATCACTGAGTTCCTTGGTTTTGAAAATGGTATGTTAAAACCTTCTTGGGACAGTGTGGGTTAAACATCGTGAACACACCCAGAGTTTTCCTAATTTGCAAACGATCTAATACCAGGCGGGGTGAGCGCGTAATTAGTGGTTGGAGTGTACACTGAAAAATTTCCTGGGTTTATTTTACCAAAGAAAGGGTGAAAACTGCAACTACCCAAACTTGGCTTGTTCTATAACCAATTGTTTGGGTTATAATTTATGTTAAATTCAACCACAAGTTGTAGTCATACAAGACCAAATTAAATTTGGTCTTGAATGACCACAAGTTTTGGTTAAATTTAGTAGAAATTTAACTTAAACTAGAGAGCACACTCTCTGTACGTGCACGTTCCACTATCGATCAGTATCGTCTTGGGCCAAAACTATGTTGGAGGTAATTGTTCTAAACTAATGTATGGCGGCTGCGCGTCCATGTTGGCACATCCGATCTCCATATAAAGAAATCAGTGGCACATCCGCGAGTGCTGGTAGTATAGCGAGTGTGCTTTCTATTTTTTAAATATAACTCTATGATGACATCCTAAATATCTTTTCAGAAGCGCGACAAGAACCATATTAAAGGGACATTACGGCCTGGAATGCGCCCAATCGGGCTACAAAACGATGTAAGGGTAAAGGTCGTCTGGAGTCTATTTTGTGCCCTTCAACTATAAATTGTAGTTGTACCTTAGACGCGAGTTACAGCAATGATTTCAAAGCATAATATCTAAGTGAACATGATTTTATTTCAAATATATCAAGGTACGATATAAACGCCAAGAGTTTTCTGAATAATGGCAATAAATGGAGGCAAAATCATTAATATACCTGTCCATGCACCATAATTTCTTGATTACTTACATTACCAAGCATAATACCTTTAATTTACCAAAAGAAAACCAGAAACTGAGTATTATAATTATAAAACATGAAAGATGATTATTATAATGAATTTAAAATGAAATAATTTGTACAATTCCAAGGACAAACCTTTTTTTTTACAACGTTCATTATTGTAAGGTCTACTGTATATAAAATTGTAAAAAAAAAAAATCTGCAAGAAATTCATTTTAAAGCTAAATGGCACTGTCGTCTAAATATAAATGTACATCTATTTTGGCGTTGGAGGAAGTTACACATGCATGTTATTAATCTTAACTGAAATAGCAATACTCTAGCTTGAGCTGCAATATGATGATTGCAGAAGACGCTCAGAGTCACACCAAGCCGAAAGAGCAGACCTGTGCCTTGAAAGTCGACATCAACGTAGTCCCCCATCGTCCACCAGGACGGATAGGTGACATGACCTTTAATATACCGAAATATAACCAAACACTGAGTAAATGTATAATTATAAAATATGAAAGACCTGATGCTTATTATAAAGAATATTAAAACGAGCTTCTTTTTTTTTTTACAACGTACGAATTGTTAGTATTACTCTATTTAAAAATTTAAACATTTTAAACATTTAAAAAAGAAGAAGCTGCAATAGGTAAATATTTTTCAAAGGCTAAAAGGCAATTAATGGCGTCATGACGGAAGTTACATACATTGTATTAATCTCAACTGAACTCCACTACTTTACCAAAGTGACGCTCCCTCTGTGTCGCTGGATGGTCCCCCGTGAAAAGACCCAGCTGAACTCTATTGTCTACCTTGGTGGCAAGGTCACAGAAGATGGCTCACTCGATGGTGAGATCAAGCGAAGAATAACCTCAGCATCCCAGTCGTTCCATTTATTCCAATCCCGGCTATGGAAAACATCAGGCCCATCCTCCATTATGGGTCAGAAACCTGGGCAACTCTGTGTAAACACACCAACTATAGAGATATGTCTCACCAACGTTGCTTAAGAAAGATTTTTTTTTACAACATGCACTGTTCGTTTTACTCTATTTAAACTTATTAAACATTTTGGAATAAAGTCTGGCGAGTAAGGAAAAAGAAGCAGAAATAAGTAAATATCTGTACCCCACACTTTCCATTCAATCCTAGAGCGGATGTGTAAAAAATCAAGTCTCTCCAAGACAACAAAGATCAATGCATTCAAGTAATCTTGCTTATGGGTCAGAAACATGGGCAACTGTGTGTAAACAATTACAACTACAAATGTTTCGCCAACGTTGCTTAACCCTAAAAGCCTGCCAGACGCAACACAGTGCATCAGGTGTAAACATCTGTGGCACCTTGAGTCATTATCACCGATGCATAAACGGCCAATTCTGAGACAATTAGAGCTAGTCCCATTGAACAATGCCACAGTTGTATCCTGCTGTATTCGGTGACTACAGACTCTTGAGGCAGTTTGGCCTCGAGACTTTTGACCTGATGGATCTTGCTGCAGTGGGCAGGCTTGTCATTTAGACAAGTGTTGCATGTTACTGTGTTCATGTCAGGGTTTTTAAAATACCCTGGAAGGTTAATACAGATTCTTGGTATTCGCTGTTGGCATAAGATAACCAATGTGAAAGTCCTCCACTGTGCTGGCCTCTCCACAGTTACAACCAAATAAGGTCATCAAGACTTAGATCACTCGGACACGTCTGTCGGATACCAGATGACAGCTCCCACAACAAGTCTTATTTGGAGAGCTCTCGCAAGTACCCGCCCTCAAGGAAGACCAAAGAAATGCTGGAAAGATGCCATCAGAGATGATTTAAAAGTATTTGGGATCGACCAAAACTGGTTCTCCTCACAAAGTCTGGCTGGCGAGCTGCAATACATGCATGGTACAAGACGCTCAGAATCACACCAAGTTGAAGAGCAGAACTGAAAGGCACAATCAGCGTTGTCCCCCATTGTCCACCAGGAAGGGGACGTAACTTGACCTTTAATTCACCAAAACAAAACCAAAAACTGAGTACATGTACATGTATAATTATATAGTATACAGACCAGATGCAATATTACATTGTGCATTTTCGGTATTACTCTGTCCAGTTTGGAAATAAATCTGGTAGTTTAACAAAAAAGAAGAGGCAATAAGTAAATTATATTATGCATCACCCATTCCATGTTTGCTATCCACTTAATTGGGTTTGTGAGGTCACCGAGTTCACAACAGCAATACTTGATGGGTTCTCCGAAGTGGAACGAAGGCCCTTCATGGCCAGCTTAGACTTCCTCCTTACAGAAGCAGCCTTCTGTTGTTGGTAGCACAGATCTGCAATGGTATAGAGGTAGGGGTTGAGAGAGGAGTTGATGGGAAGGATGAAAACGACAATCCAGGCATAGGCTTCCGTTGGTATCTCCACCACGCGGGCCTGTGACAGAATACCCATGATGATGACCGGTACCCAGCAGACAAAATCCGTCAGGATGATGGCGGCCATCTTGATGGCCAAACGCTGTTCATCGTCCCGGCCTTTCTTACTGCGGTTCACCTTCTTGCTCGATGCTCGGACTCGCCTGAAGATGGCAATGTAGCAGATGAGGATTACGGTGAAGCACAGAAGGTTGACCCCGAGGAACAGAGCGATGGAGAAGAACCAGGATGCTCGGTAATCGACAGGATACGGTATCCCCACAGTGATGTTCGCCACGCCCCCAGCATCAATCTGCTGATCCACCGTCTCATATTCAGTAACTTTAGTCATCAGTGGCAGCCCAATGCAAACATCAGAGAGGCCGTAAACATCAGATGAAGAGTCGGACGCAAGTATTGTCGGGACCAGTCCAACGATCACCGTACCAATCCAGACACACAATGCAGCAATCCGAGATGACTTCGGACGAAGATGGTAATGGCTGAACGGGAAGACAATTGAAAGAAACCTGTCTATACTGATGAGTGTGAGAAAGAACACAGAAGCCTCGGTGCCGATGATGGAAATAAACCCAGCAAACTGGCACATAGGACTCGTCCGCCATTCCATAGACACAGTAAAATAGCTCTTTCCGAAATACGCATCAGCACAGGCTATGATCAGCATGTACAACCCCATAAGGGCATCCGACACAGCTAGATTAAACACCAGGAAAGACAGAACAACTCGGCTCTCTCTGCCCTCTGTCCTTTCCCGACATCGCCACACCATGACATAGATGTTGCCGACGAGGGCGCTAATACCAAGAATCCACATGAATACTTTGAGGACCATCCTAGGCATCAGTTCGCTGCACATGAAAAGTGGAGGCTGTGGCTCAAGCGTCTTACACTCGGACGAGGGGAAGAAACAACACAGTCTGTGGTCATCTACATACCTGCCAGAAGACAAAAACCCAGAAATGGTTACACAAAAACCTAGAAAAGGTTACATAGGCCAAGTAGTGCAGACTGATTTAAATAATACATTCAATGGTTTGGCGAAAAACTTATTGTTATACTTACAACTCTTTCACATTATCAAGTCCTTGAAATGCATTATCTTCTACTACAAGTCGTGGTAGGCCTTCGATGTTGCGGACAATTATCCTGAAATAAAGCATTGATGGTTGGTCAAAGTTTGCATCGAGTGAGGAATTCTTTTATTGAAGAATGAATTTATATCAGGAGAAGTATCTAGATAATTATGTACCAAACTAAAGATCTCCTACTCCATGCTGGTAGATGGACTTTGAACTTTCAGGTTTATACTCGGTTCAAACATGCATGCGAATGTGTGCATTCTTGTCAAGTTTTTGCTGATTGTCACGGCTGTGAATGTTAGGGAGAACTAACGATCTACCAAATTTTATTGTATTTGGTCAGATGGAGTCATTTTTGTTCATTGCTTTAGTGATAGATTGCAGTTAGAGGCCTCGACGTACACATAATTTGTTGTCAAAATGAGAATTCTTCAGCAACAAAAGTACTCACAACGTTTTCACCTGGCTGAGACCAGAAAATGCATTGGACTTGATTCTCGTCAACGGCACATCAAAAATTGTGCTGAAAGTCAACAGAAGTATGGAAATCAACTTTAATTTGCAAAACAACACCGTCCGCTAAATAACTACTAACACTTCCCACAACGAGGGAGCATGTAGCTCTCAGGAAAAGTTGGGGGGGGGGTGCTTTGAGGGTTCGAGTCTCAGGCGTGGCTGCTATTGGGTCTGGGGGTGTTCCCCATGAAGATGTTTGACATCTAAGATGTGCTCTCCTGCATTCTAAGGCCAATATATAATACATTTTGAATTAAATCATTTAGCATAGCTTGCCCTTAAAATCTTGCCAATTTTTGAGGTCAATTTGCAAGCTCAGTTTAATCTGGAGTCAACACGATGTGGGGGGGGGGGAGGGCACACCAACAGGTATGCCTTGTCAGACCGCTGCTGTTTCTTACATTCCCCGTAGACTAGACAATTCCTCCATAGCAGAACCTTGCAGCTCAGTTATCAATGTATTTGACAGGTCCCTGTAACACAACAGAGACAACATTTGAGTGATTTCAAAAGTCCACATGGAGCAACGAGAAGTAAAATTTACTAAATGATTCTGCAATCACCCTGAAAAATCCACCAAAATGCAAAATTTTAATCATGGATATTCTTTTCTTTGATAATATTTGCCATAAATGACAACAACGTGTGTTGAATTGTTGAAACAACAGCTCTGAGATATAATGCCACTATTCCCTCAAAAAACCACAAACCGCTTCTTCCTGTACTGCACAATATGCTTTGAAAGGGAAAAACTAAGAGGCCGGCAAAATAAGTAATCATAATTTTGGCCCATTCCAAAGATTTTATACCCATAAACGAAACAAATTCCAAAGAAAATATCAGCTCCTGTACAGTTTGAAGCTGTCATTTCAGTACAAAGCAGCTAAAGTCAATCCCATTGACCATCTCTGCCTTCAGTCACAGATACCCATTTACTCCTGGGTGGGAGACGAAATGAATGACGAAGTGCCTTGCCCAAGGACACACGCACCATAACCCCAGGCTGGACTCGAACAGACTAATAGTTCAATGCTCCAGACCACGAGGCCACGGTGCATTCACAAAAACGTTCAGAAAAGATTTTAACTTACAGCCACAACAGGTTTTCCAGGCCGTCAAATGTGCGTTCCTGAATCTCGGATATACGATTGTTTTTTAATGACCTAAAAATTAAGAAATAATTTAAAAAGTTACATGGATATTACGAAGGTGACTAAGGTTAAAGGTCAGAAAGAAACATCATCAAGGATATACAGATTAAGAAGCGAGTTACTGAAAAATGGCAATCCCAAAAATGACATTAGAATAACTGAGATTATTAAAGACAAAAGTCAAAACTCATTTTGAGATTATCTTGACTTCATAACTAGATAGAAATTGCATTATTTCATAAGCCAAAAATCTTCAGAACACCAAAATGCTTGCCACTACTCACAACACTTTGAGATGTGACATCGCTTTGAACATTCCCTGGTCCAGCTTACTAATGTTGACTCCGGAGAGCTGACTATGGATTGAGGAAAAATAAAATTCAGACATTTTGCTCCGTTGGAAGTCAGATGTTTTAAACAAATATGTAACAACATACTTTCTGGGAACAGACAGTACAAACTTACTTAAGGAAGAATGCAACATTTAACAGGCAGTAACTCAAGGTTTACATCGCGGTATACCTTGGGGATTACCGCTAGGTTTACTTCAAAGTTTACCTGGATGTTTGCCTTGAGGTTTAACTCAAGGTCTACCACGAGGTCTACCTGGAGGTTTACCTCGAGGCTAACCTCGACGTTTACCTCGCGTTTACCTCGAGGTTTACCCTTGGAATTTGCCTAGAGGGGCTAGGTCTACCTGGAGGTTTAATACCTCTATATGTTTACCTCGAGGTTTACGTAGGTTTTATGGGTTTTCAATACGGTTTACCCTGGGGTTTAACATCAAGTTACCACATAAAATTGTGTATTCATCAGCTTCTAAGCAACTTTACTTCAATCTAAAAATTAAGGGTTGTAAAAATGTGAACATGAAAAGAGAACACGTGAACTTAGCCTACTTCAATAATCTCGTAATCAATTTTGTTTGTTCCCCAAATTTGCCTGTTTGCTCAAAAATGTGACCTTTATCGAATTTCCCAGTCAAGAACTATTTCAGATGATGGCAACTTACAGAGTATGTGTTATTAGTGCCAAGCCCGCTAATGTCGAGGAATCCCAGCCATTTTTGCAATGGACTACCAAGTCTGTGCCCTTGTAGCTACACTCGCAACCAGCGGGACATCGCTTCATATCTATGATCGCAAGAGGACAGAGTTTTAATCAAATTAGTCAAAAAGTACAATACTAGGTCGTAAGTCACGTCACAAGTCAGGTCACAAATCAGGTCACAAGTTGGGTCACACGTCAGGTCACAAGCAAGGTCACAGGTAAGGTCATATAGGTCAGCTCAAGCAAAGTCACAAGCAAGCTAGGTCACAAGTCAGCTCACAAGACAGGTCACAAGTCAGCTCACAAGTCAGCTCACAAGTCAGCTCACAAGTCAGCTCACAAGTCAGCTCACAAGTCAGCTCACAAGTCAGCTCACAAGTCAGCTCACAAGTCAGCTCACAAGTCAGCTCACAAGTCAGCTCACAAGTCAGCTCACAAGTCAGCTCACAAGTCAGCTCACAAGTCAGCTCACAAGTCAGCTCACAAGTCAGCTCACAAGTCAGCTCACAAGTCAGCTCACAAGTCAGCTCACAAGTCAGCTCACAAGTCACATCACAAGTCACATCACAAGTCAGCTCACAAGTCGGATCACAAGCCGGGTCACAAGCCGGGTCACAAGCCGGGTCACAAGTCGGCTCACAAGTCGGCTCACAAGTCAGCTCACAAGTCAGCTCACAAGTCAGCTCACAAGTCAGCTCACAAGTCAGCTCACAAGTCAGCTCACAAGTCAGCTCACAAGTCAGCTCACAAGTCAGCTCACAAGTCAGCTCACAAGTCAGCTCACAAGTCAGCTCACAAGTCGGATCACAAGTCGGATCACAAGTCGGGTCACAAGCCGGGTCACAAGCCGGGTCACAAGTCAGCTCACAAGTCAGCTCACAAGTCAGATCACAAGTCAGCTCACAAGTCAGCTCACAAGTCGGGTCACAAGCAAGGTCACAAGCAAAGTCACAAGCAAAGTCACAAGTCAGCTCACAAGTCAGGTCACAAGCAAGGTCACAAGTCGGGCCAAAAGTCAGGTCGCAGGTCAGGTCACAAGTCAGGTCAGAAGTCGGGTCACAATCGGGTATACAAGTCAGGTCACAATCAGGCACATACAAGTCAGGTCACAAGTCAGTTCCAAAATCGGGTCACAATCGGGTATACAAATCAGGTCACAAGTTGGGTCACAAGTCAGGTCACATGTCCGGTCATGCAGGTCAAGCGACCATACCGCACTGAATTTCGTCGTCAGACTCTGGGCAGTTCTCCTCTCCGTCACAAACTTGCGCCAATGGAATACACTGCGCCTGAGAAAGGTTGTCAGTGAAGGAAGAAGACATTGAACTGGTGCTGAGGTTGTTGCACTTGTAGGAACCTGGGCAGAAGATGTCGTCTGTTGCAAAAAAATGTGGGAGGGAAAACATAATAAAATCTGAGAAGTTGAATACTCACTCGTCGATCTACGTCTTTATGACAAAACAATTGTTTTACGATGAGTCTACAACATTACAGATGGGTCTCAGTATATGTGGAGTCAAACCGCGAGCGATATACCTGCGTGTAGTGCTGTAGCTGAGCTCATCACAATTTCTATTACAAGTCCAGTCCCAAGTCGCGACTGGCGCTGACACTTGCCTTCTACTTTTGTGGCCCAGGTCCCAAGTCTGCATTTGTATGGGTTCCCCCGCATTTAAACCATTAGTCCCAGTGCTATTATATGTTTAAATTTTTTTTATAGGAAAAAAACTTTTTTTATGCCCCCCCCTCTTGAAGAATCCTTGGTTCCATTACCGGAAATAAGTAAGAAAACTTCAAGACAGTTTGAGCTGACAGACTCACCGCAGTTACGTTCATCTTCATAATTTATGCAATCCAGGAAACCATTGCAGAGGGACGAATTGGTGATACAGAAACCATTGCCGCAATGGAACTCATCAGGTTTACACAATGCTGAACAAAACCCCACAAAACAAACAAGAATCACATGAAAAAAATTATGTTCAGGGGCACCATGTAATTTGTTTTTAAAATGCAATCCTTAGACATGCACATTTGTGTCCCATTAAACCTTATTTTAAATTTTCATTTGCCAATTGTAAGAACATTTTGGTAGTTTTTTTTGTTAATGCGATTTGGATATTCATGAGCAAAAGTGATGTTATTTCAGGCAGAAACTTCAATGTTACAATTTTGGATATTTCGCTGTCATATTTTTTTCTTTGCCGCTTGATTGTTTTTGTTTCAGTGACATGACATATTGGCAAAGTTTTCCAACAAATGCTTGGTTCACAATATTTTCTCAGAAGACCCTTAAACTGAACAGCGGCTTCCTGAAAATGAAATCACAGCAACAGCGCCATATGGTTCAATACTTTGAATTTAACATATGTATTAATTTAATTCTTATGGGAAAATGAAAACTAAGGAACCTAAATCAGAGACAGATGAGGGGTTTTTCAAAAACTTCCTTTCAATGGAGAAATCTCTCAAGGCTGCACTCTGAGAAGGCTTTGATACTTGGTACGGGTACAAGATTTATGATGATGGACTCATTTCAATCTTCCATATAATGTACAAAAAGAGTGATATTGAATATGGGTACCAGAAGTATGGTAATGAGTTATTGCAATGGAGAATCCCCACCAGCCTAAGGTTACAGACCAGTTAATGAACTTCCATCATAAATAGACCCCAATGGTAAATGCTCCCACTTCAGATAATCGGGAAAAAATACTCACAACTCTCCAAGATGTTCGAGACACACATCAAATTAGAGCATATTTCATCATCTTTCATTTTCTTTTCAATTTTCGGGGGGTGAACTGAAATTTTCATCCGAAGATGATCACCCCTGAAAATAGTCCTGAAGCCCATCGCCATGTTGAAAAACGATGCCTACACTCCACTGCAAAATAGAGCGCTTTAAGGGCCCCAATTTCATCCAAATTGAACGGAACTACAAGTTCACAGTCCTGTGCATGGCTTCCGCCCATATTTGTTTTACAAACCCTCAAGTTCATGGCCCACAGCATGCTCAAATACTGAAGATTTTGAGGGCATGCAAATCTTGATTTGGCCGGCGTAGGCAATTTCGGACCGATTTACTGGTCTGCAACCCTAAACACTGACAGTGGCATTGACACTGGGTACCAGACTTACCCTCCAAATCCTCTTCTTCAATGTGATTTATCAGAATGGAGAACCCGCGACGTGCGATGGTTAGATCCGTCTTCATTTCCAACTTGAGAACTCCATCATCATGACGCCACGTCACCGTCCGCCTCGAGATATCCGCCCCCGTAAGACGGAAGAGCTCTTTGGGATCCTCCCCATTCGCAAGAAAAACGACCACCAAATAATCGTACGTTTCCTCCATTTCGAAATCCTTGATCCGCATAGTGACTACTTGCTTCGACTGACCTTTGATGTACCAGATGCAGTCGTGGTTATTCGGGTACCGGTTTGGGTAGCCCGGTGAATTGAGGTTAATGATATCTTTGTATACCGAGATGTTATGCGATCCACATTCATCTGTTTTAAGGTAAGAAAAAAAAAGATAATGGTACAGTTCAGAACTAAATGAATTGCTCAAGTACGGACGGGTGGAAAGCTAGAACAGCAGATTGGTACGAGTAGTATGGATGCAGCGCAGTACTGTACTGTTGGTGCTGATGTCCCATGGTTACGGTGTTCGACTCGTGTGCCGTGGTACATGGGTTCGAATCCTGACCGTTGAACATGGTGCTTGTGCTCCTGAGCAAGGCACTTTACCATTATTGCTGCGTCCTTCGGATGGGACGGAAAGCCGTAGGTCCCGTGCGCTGTGCAATGCACGTTAAAGAACCCAGTAAACACTTATCGCTTAGAGAAGGGGTATGCCCAAGTGTTTCTGGCATATGCGCCGCAGCACCTTGTAAACCAAGGTGCTACATAATGGGTCTCATATTTCCCATAAACCTCATTTACCTGTCTTTAATAATAGACATAATATAATTTCCAGCGCCTTGAGTACCTAATTGTTGGTTGGTACGTGCGCTATATAAGACTCCGGTAATATTACTCAATTGCCGAAGACCACAAGTGCAACATCACACATTTGGTCGCCAGCAAATCACACGCCAATTAATTCACAAGTAACAGGGGATATGAAAAATAACAAAGGAATGCCTTTAATTGTTACTATTCATTGGTATAGCTTTTAAGTTGACTAGGGACTGGATGGCATCTTTTCTGTTTTTTTTTTTATACATACAAGTAACACAGCAGATGATGCAGCACGGGACTCTTAAATGATTTATGATCATTTGCTTTACATGCATTTTGTTAATTTTCAATAATAACACCACCCAAACTCCAAAGTAGAAGGTTCAAAACTTAACCGCTTGAAGTCTCAGCTCAGTGGATATAATACTTTTTGAAAAAAACAGTGAAACAACCATGCACAACCTTTTGATCACGAAACACGATATCGTCAATTGAGCGTTTTGTTCAAAATTTTGTCAACTCACAATTGTTGGAAATCGCTTTATATATACAGTACTTGATTTCTTCTAAATAACAGCAAGCTGGATGGAATTTCACGGGGTGTTACGTACCAGTGTAAGTTAGCTTTTGGTTAATACTTTTATATTTTTGAGATAAATGCAAATGATCCTGCCTGCTCTTAACCAGACATCAGTTGCAAAACGATTAATGTGCTTATGTGCTTACCACAAAGAGATTCATCTGATCCATCTGGGCACAGTGCAAAGCCATCACATTTGGCGTTATGTGCCAAACAAATCAAGCCAGATGAGTTATCCTTGCATTCAAATTCATTTTCTCTGCAAGAAACTGCAGCAACAAAGTAAAGAGAAATACAAAATGTTAAGTTCTGTAGTCGATTCTCCAAACTTTACATACCAACAGCAACGCATTAAGCACTACTTTTCCGCAACTATGCATGCGGAAAAGTAGGGAAACGTACGCATACTTGAAAGCCTGCCCAAATACGCATTGCATCATCAATCAAAGTTGCAACTCACCTTCCGATCTTTCTTGTGTGATCGTTACCTGGAATCCGACACGGTTTATGGAAGAATCGCTTGTAAACTTCATCCAGGCTATGTGGTTGTTGGAGAAAACCGCTAGACTCGTCAGGGAACTGCTAAAACTACCAATGACGGAGTCAGTACTGGAGGGCGCGTGGCCGTTGCCAATGGTAACCATGTCGTAGGTTTTCTCGGTATTAAACCCGGAGAATCGGAAGGCTATCGCGGAGCCTACATCGGCTGTGATGAGCCAAATGCACAGTGCATTGTTGGGATAGTCATCTGGGTAGTACACTGAAGTCAGTGTTGCTGAAGTCTGCGTTGAGTCGAGGATGGTGTTGCCTTCTCCGCATGGAACTGTGAAAGATAAGTGGACGAAAACATCGGGAAAAGAGTGGACGAAAACATTGGGAAAAGGATCCAAGTTTCTGGTAGAAACCAAACAAATAAGTTATGACTGTGCCACGAAATGTGCAGGATTGCAGAGTTGAATATCGGTTTAACAAACATTGCTACACTAAACATTCTGTTATATTCCCCGTGCACGAACAGCATATGGTGGCAATGCATTCGAGTCCCTCTCAGAGGTCTCCCGCAACTGTCCCTTTGTTACCGTTGAGGGGGTACGTACTTGTGCACAGAATCTATCTGGGGTCTATTATATATGGACGAATAAGGACACGCGTGATCACTTTTCACACAGGAGGGCCCCTTCCATGGAGAAACCATTGTGCAAGTTATACAGTACAGCAACTGCCCTGTGAAGGATTATCTTAACAATAGCTTGCACAATGCTTTTGCCATTACATGGGGCCTTCGTGGTATTTTGTTAGCATGCCTGGATTGGTACATAGGTACTTACAGCAGTTCATCTCATCCCACAGATCTAGACAGCCAGGTATGGCATTGCATTCGTACAGGGACCCAATGCAACCACCTTCTGGACACCGGAACTGATGTTCATAGCATGACCCTGCCAAGGGACACAAATCAGTGTAAGCCCCTCGATTCAAGTACGAGTACAGATCCGTCATTCATACGAACTGCGCCATTAGTTTAGTGGGAAGAAGGGGTTATCGTGCACCCTTGGAAATCAATTTCTCATTGACGTCTCTAGATCAGAAAATATGCGTAGAAAACGATTTGCTATGTTAAAAAATTCTAAAAAATACCCGTGTTGGTTTTATGCAAATTAGTGCCGCCATAAAAATCTATTGTTTACTATATCTCAGCCAATATTGCAGATAACTGAACGAAAAAGGTGTCTAAACCCATGTTTTCAGGGTCAAAGATCACAATAAAACTATTCTGGAAGTGGCAATATGTATCTGTGGCATAGGAATATGCAAATTTGTGTCGCTGGCACCGGAAAACCATGTTTTTGGCATATCTCGGCCAATATTGCACATCACTACACAAGTAAGGTGTCTAAACCCATGTTTTGAGGGTCAAATATCATTCTAAGACCATTCCTGTAGTAACTATAATGTGTCATGTGTGTCCTTGACATACGGTATCCCGCCTTCTTCCTACCCAACTACATGGGTAACACATGCACATCAAAATGCTGCACTGCATGTTCAAGCCATATGCGTCATATACGCACGTGCACACTTGTTCGAATTTGTACACGCATGTCGGATATAATAAAGGGTTTAATTAATTGGTCAAACCACCAGGGGTTGGGGCCTAATGGATTGTTTGATTATGTGTTGAATCTGAGTCTGAGTCCTGAGTCACTTGTTGGAGTCTCAAGTCACTTTAATCGAGTCCGAGTCCAGTACATAATCTAAAAACAACCAGTGAGCCAATAGTGAAGATTGAAGATACTAACCACAGCCAAATTCATCCCCTTTCATAGGGCAATGTGGGTAACCATCGCAAACTTGATTCCGTGGTATGCAGGCAAGGCCGGATGGGCAAGCAAATTCAGCATCGTTACATTCTGAAGAAAAAAAAACAACAACCACAAAGCAACGAAATTAAAAGTATTTATTCCGGCAACTGTCAGAACAAATAAATTTACTGCATGTACAGGTAGAAGTACACAAGCCTCTCTAGCTCTCCACCCAGTAGTATAAATGGGTAATGGCATTAGCTTGGGAGTAATTTGCATTAGACTTGCATCCCACCTATAGGAGATAGAAATATGCCCAATCATTTCCTGTCAAACTTGAGATAAATGCTACCTTGATAGGTCCAGTTTCTATTCATATCCGGAACGAGCTCCGGTCAAGTTGCGGACATTGTATCGGGTATAAATCTTCCCGCAGTGAAGTTACCAGACTTGGTGAGTGAAGCAGTTACTAATGAAAATTTCCCCGGAACATGTTCAGGGAAAAATGCAGAGCTTTTTTTTTCGGACGAAGTGAATTGTTCTGCCCGCAACTTGTCCGGAACCCGTCCTGAATATGAACTGAGACGGGTGCATACCTTTGTTCCCCTATACCGTAAGTTCCCCAACCCCAACCCTAACCTACAGATTTTGGGGAACATAGGTATTGGGAACATCAGATAGACCCCATTGAGACGACCCTTAATAGCCACATTGGTTTCGGCCAGACTCTTCTTTTATTTTATGAATACAGAGCAAATCTTCGAGTCATCGAACTTACCTACTGGCCTTAGTTCCTCGATTTCCAAGCTCACACGATTGGCAGACGTCATGCTAGTAGAAATGACCAGCGCTATCCACAGATTGTTAGTCTCTGAAATTATATGCAGCTTGGTATACGTGCCATGCCTGCTCAACGCCTCGATGTTCGAAAACTGTACTTCCCCGTGACCGAACAATAAAGCACTGTTTTGCGATAACATGTATTCCCTGAAGGTGATCTTAACGCGATACCCCTCCGATGCGGTGACGTACCACACGCAATGTCGGCCCAACGGAAAGTTGACGTCGTCCGGCTCGTAGTTCATTTGATGAACGAAAGAGTGGCCGTTGGTCACATTGATGGTGGAGATTCCACCGCAGTGCTCTATTTTTGACAAGAAACAAAGTTTTTTTTGTGAAATATAGGTTTCAGAATAAAGGGAAGACAGATTGGGTAAAAACAAAACGTTTCGCTTTGTTCTTTTTTGGGTACATAAACAATGTATTTGCCTTATCCCTATGTCTGCATGTGCTTCGCAATTATTAGCCCTGCTCATCAGGCCACATGAGACCATTTCTGCAGCAGATTGAGATAAGCGCAATCTGGTCTCTCTACCCCTGTAGATATCCATTTGTCTTGCCCAAGAACACCAACCCCGTCAGGGTTCAAACTTACGCATGTCCACGCAGCAAATCCAAGTCAAAATGTGGGATTGAAACTCACCGCAGCCAGATTCATCAGTGTTGTCGTCACACGAAAGCACCCCGTCACAATGTTTGGAAGCAGGTATACAAAGTCCCGACACGGAGCACTGAAATTGATCTTCTCTGCAAGGACCTAAAACAGAACACAAACAAACTATCACCGACACCACGAAGTAACACCCATCTACATACCAGTAAAAACTAGCAATCGGAAAAAACGGCAACTAAAGTTGAACGCCTTCTAAAACAACACTTTGCGTCAAAACGACAGAGTATTTTCAGTTGGGTTTCTCGTTGTGGACACTTGATGAATTGAATTTATTAAATCTGCTGTTTTTCATTCGTTTGTGTATTAAATAAACAAGAAATAAGAGAAAAAAGATGAGTGTTAGTTCGTGAAACCGAAAAAGCTGCGAAACTGTAAATTTTCGTTTTCACGAAGTAACACTCTTCAATGTATTTAACACGAGGAAAGTGCAAATTCAGGTCAGCGCGCGCGCGCTCATACAACTTGTTACAAGAAGAGTGTTACTTCGTGAAAACGTTTTTGCTCACTTATGAGCAGAGTGCGCGCCATGCATTGCAATGGAAAATGGAACTTGAGTGTTACTTCGTGAAAACGAAAATTGTCACTTTTGCGCAAAAGTTGCCATGAATACTTAGCGTAATTATTAAAGTAAAACTCTTGAAGCTTTGAAACTTCATGCAATGGTAGGCCTTGATGAATAATGTTTAAAAATCCAAAAAACTGAAAATCGAAAAAAAATATGCTTTAACACGGTAGAGTGTTACTTCGTGGTGTCGGTGACGAAACACCCCAACAAACACCCCAACACCCAAATAAACATCCAAACACCCAAACAAACATCCAAACACACCAACAAACCAAACAACAACCAAACAAACAAACGAACGGATTCAAAAATGAAAAAAGGTGCACGCCTTTTCAGACTGATGTTAAAGAGTCGACCCGAACTAAAAAGGTATTTGGAGTTACATAGGTCAACCAAAAATACATTTTGGTCTCAAATAGGTGAACATTATGTTTCTATATGATAAGGCTTTATCATGCACAGGGGGCCTCGGAACCTCAAGTCTCTCCCAGTAACAAATCTGACTTGTGGAATAAAAGTACCACTTGAATAATCCAAAGAAGAATGTTCAAAACCTAACCAGTTGAAGTTTCAGCTCAGTATTTATTATACACTTTCCGCAAAAACAGTGACGAACTATGCAAAACCTTTTGATCACGAAATACGACTTAATATTACTCTTTATACAACACCTGAATAAATCCCCGTCATCTGATTGGTGAATTGTAGATCACGTGACATATTATTATTCGGTATAATGCACGGTGCGACCATGCATTATACCCATGCGTTATACCGCTTCACTTTGCGCTTGTTCCATGACGCGGTATTTGCGTGCAAAATGCAAGCTGGTGTGCGCGTTCAGCGTAGCGCGTATTGTTCCAAAGAGCCAGCGCTACAGCGTTGGGTTCAAACATTTTCGTGAAGGGGTAGTTCAACATCTTTAAAATCAAAACAAATTGTAGTTTATAATTTACCAATCAAATGACGAGAATTTATTCAGGTGTTGTATAAAACAAATAACGAATGTTTTACGTTCGTGCGATGGAAAGAATAATTTCATTCGGTGACAGATTGAATGTTCTATTCCAAACATTCGTTATTTGTATAATATTTCGAACGATCATTTAATTGACTGATCATTGGAAATCACCGAATTCCTTTTTTGTTTTATAAAGCAAGCCAGACGAAACAAGTCAGGTGTGTTTACAAACACAAATGCCCCGCAACCGTGACTGTTCCCATGACATAACACCACTCTTTTAACATCAACTTACATGTACCTTGGTCACATGGAATGTTCATTGACAGCATTAGTGTCTTCTGTAGGTTTTATATGAATTAATCCCTAATCCCTATGATCTTAGAATAAATACAAGATTTTGATTGTTTTAGCCACTGTGACCTTGACCCTTGACCTTTTGGCCCCAAATGCAAAAGGCTTCTTAGGATTACCAAGGACAATCCACAAACCAAATTTGAAGTTCATATGTAAAGTATTTCTCAAGTTATCGCGCTGACAAAATTTCTATTGTTTCAGCCACTGTGACCTTGACCCTTGACCTTTCGGCCCAAAATGCAATAGGCTTCTTAGGATTACCAAGAACAATACACAAACCAAATTTGAAATTCATATGTAAAGTATTTCTCAAGTTATCGCGCTGACAAAATTTCTATTGTTTCAGCCACTGTGACCTTGACCCTTGACCTTTCGGCCCCAAATGCAATAGGCTTCTTAGGATTACCAAGAACAATACACAAACCAAATTTGAAATTCATATGTAAAGTATTTCTCAAGTTATCGCGCTGACAAAATTTCTTTTGTTTTAGCCACTGTGACCTTGACCCTTGACATTTCGGCCCCAAATGCGATAGGCCTCTTAGGATTGCCAAAGACAATCCACAAACCAAATTTGAAGTTCATATGTAAAGTATATCTCAAGTTATCACGCTGACAAAATTTCTTTTGTTTTAGCCACTGTGACCTTGACCCTTGACCTTTCGGCCCCAAATGCAAAAGGCTTCTCAGGATTGCCAAGGACAATCCACAAACCAAATTTGAAGTTCATATGTAAAGTATTTCTCAAATTATCGCGCTGACAAAATTTCTATTGTTTCAGCCACTGTGACCTTGACCCTTGACCTTTCGGCCCCAAATGCAATAGGCCTCTTAGGATTACCAAGAACAATACACAGACCAAATTTGAAGTTCATATGTTAAGTATTTCTCAAGTTATCGCGCTGACAAGATTTGTCCGGACACACACACCCACACACCCACACACCCACCCACCCACCCACCCACCCACCCACCCACGGAAGGACAAGGCGGAAACAGTATGCCCCTTCGGCTTCGCCGCGGGGCATAATAAATTCACGGGTTGTTAAGTATTATACAACACCTGAATAAATCCCCGTCATCTGATTGGTGGATCATTGATCACATGTGCTTGAATTATTCGTCCCAACGCACGGCGCGCGCGCGGCGCGCAGCGCACAATGCAATGGAAGTTCCATTGCACGGTGAATAGAACTTCCATTGCACGGTGTCACTACTGCTAGTGGTGGCGCTGTTTTAAATAAGGGAATAAATGTGTGCTTCGGAGGTTTTTATCACTCTGTTTAAGACCACTTAGAGTCTGGGTGCTGATAATTACCCGAGCCGGAGGCGAGGGTAATTATCAGCACCCAGACTCTAAGTGGTCTTAAACAGAGTGATAAATACCGACGGAGCACATATTTATTCCCATTAATAAATACCTTTTCGGTAAGAAAAAATCATATAATTCGTTCAAAACATCCCGATTTTGTTCAACAAATTCACTTTATGCTTTTTGAAACATCCCTCTTGCAAAAATAATGGAGTGTTCAGCTGGCGAGTAAGATGTAAACAACCCTTTTATGGCGATTGACGCGCGCGTATCATGTTCTGCGCGATGTCGCGCAGAACGCACCTGGCGCGTTGCGTTTTGAATTTAGAACTTTAAAATTCTGACTCCCTGGTAGTGTTGCGCATGCCTACGTGAGGATTGTGAACGTTCAACCAATGAAACGATAAGAGGCACTGGATTTTTAGGAGTCCACATTTTATTGTGACACTGGAAAAGTGTTTAAGACCAGCTAGCCATGTCTTTATCATCCGTTTAAGACCGGCCACGTGACGGGCTCTCGACAAATAGGAATGCGTAAACTGTCTTAGGTATTTATGAATAAGGGAATAAATGTGTGCTCCGGAGGTTTTTATCACTCGTTTAATACCGCTTAGAGTCTGGGTGCTGATAATTATCAGCACCCAGACTCTAAGCGGTATTAAACAGAGTGATAAATACCGACGGAGCACATATTTATTCCCATTCATAAATACCTTATCCGTAAAAAAAAAATCAAATAATTCGTTCAAAAATTCCCGATTTTGTTCAACAAGTTCACTTCATGCTTTTTGAAACATCCCTCTAGCAAAATAATGGAGTGTTCAGCTGGCGAGTAAGATGTAAACAACCCTTTTATGGAGATTGACGCGCGCGTAACATGTTCTGCGCGATGTCACGCAGAACGCACCTGGGGCGTTGCGTTTTGAATTTAGAACTATAAAATTCGGACTCGCTTGTAGTGTTGCGCATGCCTACGTGAGGATTGTGAACGTTCAACCAATGAAACGGTAAGAGGCACTGGATTTTTAGGAGTCCACATTTTATTGTGACACTGGAAAAGTGTTTAAGACCAGCTAGCCATGTCTTTATCATCCGTTTAATACCGGCCACGTGACGGGCTCTCGACCAATAGGAATAGCTAAACTGTCTGAGGTATTTATGAATCGAGATTACTTGACATGGATTTATTCAGGTGTTATATAAAACAAATAATGAACGTTCGTGCAATGGAAAGAATCATTTCATTCGGTGACAGATGAAATGTTCCATTTCATCTGTCACCTCATGAAGTTATTCTTACCATTGCACTTACAAACATTCATTATTTGTATACCAGTATAATTGACCTATCACGGTAGAATCGCGTTAGAAGCGCGTAAACGCAGCTTGTGAAAATTGTCCAATTACATGACATATAAATGGACGCGGAACGCACAACATCCAGACAAACAAAACTTGGCGTACACAATTTCCATTGGGTTGTCTAAGGGGCGTGGCTAACTCACAAACGGCGATAGGTCAATAGGTCTAGTTCAAATGACATCATTTCCTACAGACCATCCACGAACAGGTATTTTGAGCGTCAACTTTCAAAACGCGCATCAGCTGCGTCGTATTTCGAACACATTTCGAGCAACAAGCGCGCGTGTTTGGAACATTTTTACCACTGCGCAATCATAGATATAGAACTTATTTAAGTTCTATATCTATGTGCGCAATGCGTGCTTGATTGCTAAAATACGCAGTTGCAGTTCTCCTACAGAAATGGCCGTCATTGAACGAGCCCTAATGTTATTCCAAGTTAAACGTTTTTTTAAGCTACAGTCCATCATTTGCAGCTATCCAAAAAGTAACTGGCGTAATTATTGTTGAAAAATATACTTTGTTGAAAGATAGTAAAGGAACTAAACTCCCTGTGTAATTATTCTTTTTGGCATGCTGTCATTTTGAACAAATCAACGAAAGAAGGCCTTTCCAACGGTGTTTCTAAAGACGCTCCGTTGGAAATTTCCGTTAGTAGTTCGGTTTTTTTTATTCGGCGAAACGCGCGCAAGCATTAACACGACGCACACACGAAGCCCAATTCAAACATGATCCAGCTAATTTTGATTTGAAATCAAGATCCCAAAATGCTGTTTTTATCGGAATACACAGCTGCCGCTGAGCTGAAAGTTCATCAGGTTAGTTGTTCAGTACCCTTCTATAGATTTTGAGCACGTTTGTTGTTGAACAAAACGCACAAATTACAAATGATGGACTTTACCTTTTATAATAGTTCTGTAGGCTACTTTTTGATAAATGCCAATGATCCTGTATGAAGTCAGTTATGAAATTGTTAATGAATCCGAATTCTTCTTACCGCAGTTCGATTCATCTAATTCATCTGGACACAGTAGAAAGCCGCCACAGGTGTCGTCACGTGTCAAACAAATCAAGCCAGATGAGGCATCCTCGCATACAGATTCATCTTTGCCGCAAGAAACTGCAGCAAGGAGCAAAACAAATCACATGTAACGTTCTGCAGCCTGCTCTCCAAAAATGTACGCAATAGCAGTTACCTATTTTCAAGCACAATTACACATTGTGCATTTCATTATTTACGTCAAATTTCGCAAACACTTTCGCGTTGCATCTGCAACTTACGCAGCATAATTTTGGCTTTGACTTTGTCAATTTGTGTAGTCGAAGTAACAGTGTAAAGGGTGAGTAAAAAAATGCCCCTTTGGATTTAGTTGTTTTCTCCCACAAAAACGGGAAAAGGTTACCAGTGTTTTCTTTTCAGCCAATTAACATTCGGTCTGGGTATTGACCACAGTCAGTAACTTGTTAACAAAAGCAGGGCACTCTTTACAAGGGCGGGGGGGGGGGGGGGGGGGTAAGCGCTGGTGAAAAGGGGCATCAGAATGGAAACGGGCAGTATTTACAAAAATAGGGGGGGGGGTGCGGAGGAAATACCCCCCTTACCCCCGCTGGCAATGCCTAAGCTGATTGGAAGTTCGGAACATTAACAGTTTTTAATGACAAGCCAGACTTGAAACGAAACTGCGCTTTGCGAAATAGGCATCATGTGTTTTAGCCTTGGCTGCTGGACCTTATATTCATCAGAAATTGCACATCGCCAGGCAAATATAATGTGATGTGCAAATAACTGGAATCATACCTTATCGGATTGTTGAGATAGTGTGACTGCCTCAGCAAATATTCACGGCGTCATGACACGAGAAAAAGAAACTACACGGTAATAAACGATTATGATTGAAATTGGGAACAGCTAATAACTGACGTGCACTTTCCATAAACAAAGTCAGCTGCACGCAACTTCAGGAGTCATTACATTACCTATGCTACTTACATTCAGATCTTTCTTGTGTAATCGTTACGTTAAATCCGATCTTGGTTACTGAACCATCGCTCGCAAAATCCATCCAGGCTGTGTGGTTACTGGAAAAGATGGCGAGACTCGCCAGGAAACCGTTAAAACGACCAATAATGGATTCACCATCGAGGGGTGCATGGCCGTTGCCGATGGTCACAGTGTCGTATGTGTGCTCGGTTTTGAACACGGAGAAACGGAAGGCTATCGTGGAGCCTTCATCAACTGTGATGAACCAAATGCACTGGGCATTGGTGGGATAGTTGTTTGGGTAATAAGGCGAAGTCAGTGTTTCTGAAGTCTGCGTTGAGTTGTTGAGAGTGATGTTTCTTTTCCCACAAAAACCTGTACAAGAAAAATAAAATCATCCTTGTCCAAGTTGTTTGAAATAATATTTAAATCTTTGAACAGCATACCAATTTTCATGAAATCATTCGTAATGATATATTATGCAAATGTAATTTGTTGTGTAAATCTGCGGTGAGCGACATAAGTTACATGTATGCACTGTTCCGTAAAATCAGCTGCACAACAACTTCAGGAGACATTCCATTATCTTTTCAAGTTGCTACTTACCTTCAGGTCTTTCTTGAGTGATCTTTACCTCGAATCCGACCTCGGTTACCGAATAATCGCTGGTAAACTTCATCCATGCCGTGTGGTTATTGGAAACGATGGCTAGACTCGTCAGGGAACTGCTAAAATGACCAATAACAGAGTAACCATCGGAGAACTCGTGGCCGTTGCCAATGGTCAACGTGTCGTGTGTTTGCTCCGTGTTGAACACGGAGAAACGGAAGGCTATCGTGGAGCCTTCATCGACTGTGATGAACCAAATGCACCGGGCATTGTTGGGATAGTTGTTTGGGTAATAAGGCGAAGTCAGTGTTTCTGAAGTCTGTGTTGAGTTGCTAAGAGTGATGTTTCCTTTGCTGCAATAATCTGTAGAAGATAAATAAAACTGTTAATGAAAAATCACAAAAAGGACAAAGGTTTCTTGTTAAACCGAACCATAACTCTAATTTCAGGAATGCCAGTGCTTTTGCCATAGGGACAGAAAAAAATGAATTAATTTATTCAGAATTAGCACAATCTCGAAGTATAAACTGTTTTGTGACCAATGTCTTCAAAGTAACGATAATCCTTGTCCAAGATGTTGAAGTAATATTTAAATCGTTGAACAGCATACCAATTTTATGAAATCATTCGTAATTACATATTACGCAAATGTTATTAGTTGTGTAAATCTGCGGTGAGCGACATAAGTTACATGTATGCACTCTTCCGTAAAATCAGCTGCACAACAACTTCAGGAGACATTCCATTATCTTTTCAAGTTGCTACTTACCTTCAGGTCTTCCTTGAGTGATGTTTACCTCGAATCCGATCTCGGTTACCGAAGAATCGCTAGTAAACTTCATCCATGCCGTGTGGTTATTGGAAACGACGGCTAGACTCGGCAGGGAACTACTCAAAAGACCAATAATGGAGTCACCATCGGATGAATCGTAGCCGTTGCCAATGGTCAACGCGTCGTGTGTTTGCTCCGTATAGAACACGGAGAAACGGAAGGCTATCGTGGAGCCTTCATCAACTGTGATGAACCAAATGCACCGGGCATTGTTGGGATAGTTGTTTGGGTAATAAGGCGAAGTCAGTGTTTCTGAAGTCTGTGTTGAGTTGCTGAGAGTGATGTTTCTTTTGCCGCAATAACCTGTAGAAGATGAATAAAACTGTTAATGAAAAATTACAAAAAGGACTAAGGTTTCTTGTAAAACCGAACCATAACTCTAATTTCAGGAATGCCAGTGGTTTTGCCCTAGGGACAGAAAAAATGAATTAATTTATTCAGAATTAGCACAATTTCGAAGTATAAACTGTTATGTGACCAATGTCTTAAAAAGCGCTCATCCTTGTCCAAGATGTTGAAGTAATATTTAAATCGTTGAACAGCATACCAATTTTATGAAATCATTCGCAATTACATATTACGCAAATGTTATTAGTTGTGTAAATCTGCGGTGAGCGACATAAGTTACATGTATGCACTCTTCCGTATAATCAGCTGCACAACAATTTCAGGAGACATTACATTATCTTTTCAAGTTGCTACTTACCTTCATAGCTTTCTTGAGTGATCTTTACCTCAAATCCGATTTTGGTTACCCAATAATCGCTGGTAAACTCCATCCATGCCGTGTGGTTATTGGAAACGGCGGCTAGACTCGTCAGGACACCGCTAAAAAGACCAATGACAGAGTCATCATCGGAGGACTCGTGGCCGTTGCCAATGGTCAACGCGTCGTATGTTTGCTCCGTATTGAACACGGAGAAACGGAAGGCAATTGTGGAGCCTTCATCAACTGTGATGAACCAAATGCACTGGGCATCGTTGGGATAGTTGTTTGGGTAATAAGGCGAAGTTAGTGTTTCTGAAGTCTGTGTTGAGTTGCTGAGGATGATGTTGCTTTTTCCGCATGGACCTGCAGAAGAAAATAGAATAGTTAATGAAAAATCAGAAAAATACTAGGTTTCTTGTAAAACCAAACAATAAGTTTAATTTCAGGAATGCCAGTGGTTTTGCTCATGGGACAGAAAAAGACAAAATTTAATCAGAATGTACACAAGCCCGAAGTATACAACATTGTCTTTGGATAACATGGATCCAACGTTATGGTATCCGGCCTGCGACTAGGTGGTGATGTACTGTACGCTGCTGAACAGAAAGTTGATGTCTTAGTTCAGTCGGAAAAGGGGGGTATCGTGCACCCTCGGAAATCAATTTCTAATCAACGTGTCTAGGTCAGAAAAAAATGCGTAGAAAACGATTTGATATGTTAAAAAATTCAAAAAATGTCCCACGTATTGTTTTTATGCAAATTAGTGCCGCCATTACCGAAAAATCTATTTTTAATTATATCTCAGCCAATATTGCTGATAACTGAACGAACTAGGTGTCTAAACCCATGTTTTCAAGGTCAGAGATCACAATAAAACTATTCTGGAAGTCACCACATGTGTCTGTGGCATAGGAAAATGCAAATTAGTGCCGCAAATACCGGAAAGTCATGTTTTTGGCATATCTCGGCCAATATAGCACATAACTACACCAGTAAGGTGTCTAAACCCATGTTTTGAGGGTCAAGTATCATTAGAAAACCATTCACGAAGTAACTATGTGTGTCTTTGGCATGAAAATATGTAAATTATAAAGTGTCGGTTTATCAGATATTTGATTTTTAGCCAATATTTCGGCCAATATTTCACATAACTACACAAGTAAGGTGTCTAAACCCATGTTTTGAGGGTCAGGTATCATTAGAAGACCATTCACGAAGTAACTATGCGTGTCCTTGGCAGGTAAATATGTAAATTCAAAAGTGTCGATTTATCGGAAATTTGATTTTTAGCCAATATCTCGGCCAATATTGCAGCTAATGTTGACAGAAGGGTTTTTGATAAGCAATAATGATCAAAGTTTATTTTAAGCCATCATATTTAAAATAAATTGTACTATTGGCTGAAATTGAATATAATATTGGCTAAAAATCAATTTTTTGATAAATCGACACTTTTGAATTTACATATTTACCTGCCAAGGACACGCATAGTTACTTCGTGAATGGTCTTCTAATGATACCTGACCCTCAAAACATGGGTTTAGACACCTTACTTGTGTAGTCATGTGCAATATTGGCCGAGATATCGGCTAAAAATCAAATATCTGATAAACCGACACTTAATATTTTACATATTTTCATGCCAAAGACACACATAGTTACTTCGTGAATGGTCTTCTAATGATACTTGACCATCAAAACATGGGTTTAGACACCTTACTGGTGTAGTTATGTTCTATATTGGCCGAGATATGCCAAAAACATGATGTTCCGGTATTAGCGGCACTAATTTGCATATTCCTATGCCACAGACACATGTGGTGACTTCCAAAATAGTTTTATTGTGATCTCTGACCTTGAAAACATGGGTTTAGACACCTAGTTCGTTCAGTTATCTGCAATATTGGCTGAGATATAATTAAAAATAGATTTTTCGGTAATGGCGGCACTAATTTGCATAAAAACAATACGTGGGACATTTTTTGAATTTTTTAACATAGCAAATCGTTTTCTACGCATTTTTTCTGACCTAGACACGTTGATTAGAAATTGATTTCCGAGGGTGCACGATACCCCCCTTTCCAACTAAACTATCTGGTTCGTAGCTACCTCCTAAGTTTGAACATGATTTGAAGAACGAAAGATTGGCCAAGATTCAAGATTCCACAAAAGCATGCTTTTTTGAAATAGGAAATGTGTTAATTTTTGAAAGAGAGGGTAACTTAGATTTAGCTAGGGTAACATGTTTTACATGTGATACTTAAAAACTAAAGTGATGATAACAATAATGTGATGCTTGAATAACGCTTAATGTCATCTGTTTCAAAGATGGCAGGGGAATAAAAAAGAATTACATAGGCTATTTTCAGCAAGTGTTAGCTTCTTGATAATAGTTCGGAATGCTACTTTTGGGATAAATTGAAAAGATCACATATGCCTTTAAGTTTGACAGAGTTTAAGTCAGTTGCAATGATGCCTCATGAATCCGAAATATACTCACTGCAGTTAGATTCATCTGATCCATCTGGGCACAGTGTAAAGCCATCACCATCACAGGTGTCGTCACTTGCCAAACAAATCAAGCCAGATGATTCATCCTGGCATGCAAATTCATCCTGTCCACAAGAACCTGCATGCAGCAAAGAGTAGAATAAATAACAGGTAACGATCTGCAATCGATTCTCCAAACTTTGCAAAAGACAGTAACTTATCAAGCAACATATTGTGCATTTCATTTACGTCACATTTTGCAAACTCGTGTGCGTTGTATAAGTTTGCAATTTGCACAACAAATTATGACTTTGGAATATGGACAATTAAAAAAACCTATTTACGCCAATTAGTCTGTATAGAGTCTAAATTCATTGGTCACTGCCAACTTGTTAATGTGACGTAAGAAAATTAACGGCTTAAACAACATGAGTAAGTATTATTTTATCATTGACAGAAATTTGAGTGTGGCCGCCTGCTTCCGAAGAAGCCACAATTTTTTTTCTCAAAATGGCAAGCATAGCTGATTTAACAACTGCTTCGTGACGATGTCTTTTCCAAGATGTTTGAAATAATATCTAAAACGTTAAACAGCCTAACAATTTTCATGAAATCATTCGCAATTATATATATTACGCAAATGTAATTAGTTGTGTAAATCTGCGGTGAGCGACGTAAGTTACATGTATGCACTCTTCCGTAAAATCAGCTGCACAACAACTTCAGGAGACATTCCATTATCTTTTCGAGTTTCTACTTACCTTCAGATCTTTCTTGAGTGATCTTTACCTCGAATCCGACCTCTGTTACCAAAGAATCGCTGGTAAACTCCACCCATGCCGTGTGGTTATTGGAAATGACGGCTAGACTCGTCAGGGAACTGCTAAAAAAACCAATAACAGAGTCACCATCGGAGGACTCGTGGCCGTTGCCAATAGTCAACGTGTCGTATGTTCGCTCCGTATTGAACACGGAGAAACGGAAGGCTATCGTGGAGCCTTCATCAACTGTGATAAACCAAATGCACCGGGCATTGTTGGGATAGTTGTTTGGGTAATAAGGCGAAGTCAGTGTTTCTGAAGTCTGTGTTGAGTTGCTGAGAGTGATGTTTCTTTCTCCGCAAAAACCTGTAGAAGATAAATAAAACTGTCAATGAAAAATCACAAAAAGGACAAAGGTTTCTTGTTAAACCAAACCATGAATTTAATTTCAGGAATGCCAATGGTTTTGCTGTAGGGACAGAAAAAGAATAAATTAATTAATTCAAAATTAGCACAATCTCGAAGTATTTCGTGAAGTCTCGAAGTATAAACATTTTTGTGACCGATGTCTAAAATGCAACGATCATCCTTGCCCAAGATGTTTGAAATATTGAAAACATTGAACAGCATACCAATTTTCATGAAATCATTCGTAATTATATATTACGCAAATGTAATTAGTTGTGTAAATCTGCGGCAAGCAACATAAGTTACATGTATGCACTGTTCCGTAATATCAGCTGCACAACAACTTCAGGAGACATTCCATTATCTTTTCAAGTTGCTACTTACCTTCATAGCTTTCTTGAGTGATCTTTACCTCGAATCCGATCTCGGTTACCGAAGAATCGCTGGTAAACTCCATCCATGCCGTGTGGTTATTGGAATCGACGGATAGATTCGTCAGGAAGCCGCTAAAACGACCAATAACAGAGTCACCATCGGATGACTCGTGGCCGTTGCCAATGGTCAACGTGTCGTATGTTCGCTCCGTATTGAACACGGAGAAACGAAAGGCTATCGTGGAGCCTTCATCAACTGTGATGTACCAAATGCACCGGGCATTGATGGGATAGTTGTTTGGGTAATAAGGCGAAGTCAGTGTTTCTGAAGTCTGTGTTGAGTTGCTGAGGGTGATGTTGCTTTTTCCACATGGAACTGTGGAAGAAAATACAACAGTTAATGAAAAATCAGAAAAAAATACTAGTTTTTTTGTAAAATCAAACAATAAGTTTGATTTCAGGAATGCCAGTTGTTTTGCTCTAGGGACAGAAAAGGAATAAATTGATTAATTCAGAATGTGCACAAGCCTGAAGTTTTAAACATTGTCTTTGGATAACATGGATCCAACGTTATTCTGATGCGGTATCCGGCCTGCGACTAGGCGGTGATGTACTGCACGCTGCTGAACGGAAAGTTGATATCTGGTTCGTAGCTATACATGTACCTCGTTAGTTTGAACATACTCTGAAAAACGAAAGATTGGCCATTGGTCACATTGCATGATGGTGGAGATTTTACCGCGTCGTCATTTAGTTCTTTTTTTTAATGTAAACAAGTCAGTTGCAAAGTGATTCCTGAATCCGAAGCCTACACCGCAATTAGATTGATCCGATTCATCTGGGCACAGTGCCTCGACGTTTTCCGACTTTCTTCGTGCTGTGTTGTTAAACTTCTTTGTTTATAACCTTTAAACTCAATCAGTTAAATAGTAGTATCTCTCCTACAATGATGTTGCCCCCTTAAATTATTTGCCGATGGTTGCCTCGCAAAGCCACGTCACTGCCCTGTCGTCTGCAAGGTGAGGTGCCGAGAGGCCGCATTGGAATCGCTGAAGAAGGCACTTTTCCAGATATTTCCTATCGTTTTCACAGTATTGCAGGTACTAAGAGGGGACACACTACTGCTCCAGGGTCCAGCGCCAGAGCGGAACGGGTTAAACTTGGACCAAGAGTTGCTTGGGAGGTCCATGTCAGGAGTCGAACAGTAGGCTCGGCGATCAGTACTGTGTCGATCCTTACATGGGAGTCCGTTGTTGTGCATGTCGCATGGGTTCTCCATGAGCTGGTTTTATCGCCCATGTGTACCCTCGAAGCGTCTGTTTGCAAGGAGAACCTCTATGATCTGAACTGTCTAGGGAGGCAGCAAGGAAGACAGTTTGGTGAACAGGCCATTATGCCAAACATTATCGTATCTGAAGTGACGTCTAGAAAAATCGCACCAGGGTTTCAGTTTTCGTTGGTAGCAGTTCTCTATGCATGTGGTAAGTGCAAGCACCTGATCTGCTGTGCTGCGGCCGCTCCTGAATCCTGCTTGATCAGGGGAGAAAAACCGTCAACAAGAATTAGTGGAGAGATGTGGTTGAGAATCACTCTTTCAAGGAGCTTGTAGCAGATGGAGAGGAGCGAGATTGGTCTGTATTAACTGGCTGCTGGCTTCGGGTCTTTCCCAGCTTTGGGTATGGCAATGACAGCTGTTCTCCACGTGTTGGGGATCTATTTGTCATAGATCACCCGGGTGAGGGATTTGCTTAGCAAGTTGATGGCTTGGTGTCCCAAGTTCTTGATGAATTCTGGGTAGGCCCTATATACATCTGGTCGTACCCAGCGGCCTTACTTGTTTTCAAATTCCTAACTGCGCTAGTGACTTCGAGTGGTGTGAAGGATGAGGGCGACTAGGTCATACGAGTTTAAGCTGTTTTTCATGCTTGATGTACCTGTTTTATTGATTTTTTTCTTTCTTGGGTGGACGCTGGGTCTGCTGGAGGTTGGGATTGGCTGTTGTCCCACACCGAGTTAGCATAAGAGTTTACAGCTATTGCGGCTGTATAATGTGTGAAGTCTACACTGCTTGTTGTTTCTTCCCGTGCCCAGCGACTACGTCTGGCATCATTCAGGGTCTGAATGAGTTATCGGAGATCTCAGCGTTTTCGGTATCTACGTACTGTACTCCGTCAGATGTTGTCGGCATTCTTCATCATATCGAGGCAAGGTGTACTGAAGCCGTGGGGAATATGACGTTTCGGAGCTTTTGAGATAGCCTGCTTCACTCCAGGTCACTGGTAAAGCTTGTCCAGTCGGCTTTTCGGACGTTCCATCTTGGTTTCTGGACGGTTTTGATGATGGGCAGTCAGATTCCGATGTCGATTGCGCATACGTACGATGGGTCTGTGACGGACGCGTGGGAACTGGGATCCCAGGAAGGACATTTGGCTGGAAGGAGACATCCATCCTTCGAGGAGACCCAACAGAGGTCTGGAGAGTGCTGCGTTACCCAGCGAACCGATCTGATAGTCCCGTGTTGTTCATATCAAGCACCGTAGGTGGGTGTGTGCGTGGTTGGACCATTCGGTGACACATTCGCCATTCCTGTCGTTGCTATTGTGACCGCAGATGGTGTGGTGGCTATTGAAGTCGCCCACATAAATGGCTGGGTAAGGTTACATAGGTAACGGTAGCGTTGGTCCAAGCTGTGGAAGGAGGCTTGTAGAAATTCATGGTCGAGGAGTCTCCAACCGAGATAACGTCGTAGATGTCGTAGATCTACAAACGATGCATCAGTGACGATGGAGCGGACAAAAGTGGCGCGGCAATATTTTTCGTGGCCTGAGGGTGCAATTGAGGAGGTCAAAGTTGGTGATGGTGAGCCTTGATCGTGGGTCCTCAGATCTGACATGTATTTCTTGGCGTTTGCTCGTTGCAGAGGTATACAATCCGGTCTCTTTTGGGAGCTGACATAATGTACAACATTTTTGAACACGTATGCAAATGAGGAATAGTCTTGTGCCTGCCTGTGCGTCACATTAGCGTTTGTTTTTGAATGCGGTGTCTGGGGTAAAAACACAATCAATTCGTCGCAGCGTGAGTTGTGAAAACACGATTGTTTTTCGAAGTTAAAATGTTACAATCTTATCCCGTCAATACGCAATATCACATTTCATAATTAATAATTATGAGCAAATTGGAAAGGAAAGGAGTATTTTTTTAGAAGGCGTGGACGTTATGAAGGCGTATCCATCACTAGCAAAATGCGGTATAAAATCAGGATGCATGAAGAAAGTTTCCTATCAAGGGCTTACTATTGGAAACGAGGTTGGAAATAAAGTAAGCACTAGGGACGAGGTTAGTCTTGCCCCATACTGAGATAGAGCAATTCAGATTCGAGTAACACACTTTATTCGTGCGTCATCCAACATGGCGCGGCCTACCAACCCGTCTCTACAGGGCGCTATTCAACCTTGACCGTGGACGCAACAGCGGCACAATTCAGTAAATATTCTACTAAAGGAAGAAAAACGACGTTGACGAATCAAATCAACGTGAACTTACCATCGCACGATGCACCATTCGCCAGAATGATCAGTAAGAAAATGCGCCATTCTTGATGATATCTCCTCCTGGTTTGCATTGTTGAACGAAGCACTAACTACACTGCCTTATGATGTAGTTGTAAAAAAAGACAGAACAGTCGGACGACACCTAGTCGAGAAAGAATAAAAGTCTACAATATTTAAAGAATCGGTCATAAATTAAAAGGATTATTTGCTCTTTTTGCACTTTTTTTCCCATTCGAAGGAAAAATTGCCCGCTGAAATCGTATGTTGGATGCATAACAACTAACCTGTTGAAGTTGTATCTCTGAAAACAGAGAAACAAATATTAAGAACATTTGTTTGTAGTCTCAAACCGAATTTCGATGCCGTTGCGTGTAGGACATGTTCCCGCGGGTACACTTAAAAACACCCCAAAACACTTTCAACTTAATTAGGTGACGACCCGATCACCGTTTTGAAATGATTAGAAATTTGGACGATAACTCTCCGTAGTCAAGTGGCTAAAACAGGGGCGGATCCAGGAATTTTTGAAGGGGGAGGGTTTCATCAGCCAAAATTGTGAATGTTGACAGGTATTTTTCTCCGGACACTTGGTGGGGTGGGATGGGGTGGGGGAAGGGTGGGGGGGGGGGGGGGGGGGGGTTCGTACCATGCTTTCAATGGGGGCGCTGTTCAAATCCAACGATTATTGACACTATATTACACAATTAATTGTACAAATACCCCCTAACAAAACTGGCTCTGTTCGTATTTTGTGCACAGGCTATTTCGGATTTTTCAGATGTCCTCATTATCATCCAGTCACTTGCTTTAGAAATGTTATTTAAGTAAGGATATGTAAGTAGAATCCAAAATATATACTTTTCCAAAAAACAAAAACAAACACACACCAAAATATGGGAATAAACACGTGGCGGCTTTTTACGATTTATGCAAATTAGGCACCCTTCCCAAAATAATGTCAAGTGTCACTTCCTCTAAATATCTTCTCTAGGGTTACAACAATCTACCTGCTAAGTCTGGTGTTTTGGATCAGTCGGTCACGATTCCACCCATAAGCCACCTGACTACCGTGGCTTTTCTTCTAAACGGTACATGGCATAATTTTACAACTTGGAACAAACATTAACTCTGATCCCAAGGTGTACATATTACCCTGACGTCATGATGACGTCAACATGTATCAAATTACCAGCGATTTTCGTTCAGAAAATGACAGTTTTCGTGCAAGTGCAACCTATAGGCCTACATGTTCTTAGCCCTTACCTATATCTATCGAGGCAAAACTTTTCTAATTTGTCGAAGAGGAACTACCACTTCTCCAAAATGAAGTACCTAGGCCTATAATAATAATAATAACGGAGTCTTATATAGCGCACGTATCTACCAACAATTAGGTTCTCAAGGCGCTGGTTATTATGTCTATTATTAAAGAAAGATAAACAAAGTATATGAGAAATAATTATGAGACCCATTATGTAGCACCTTATAAGGGTTGACAAGGTGCTGCGGCGCATATTGTAGCCACTGCCAGAAACACCGGGGCAAACCCCTTCTCTTAGCGATAAGTGTTACTGGGTTCTTTTTCGTGCATTGCACAACACACGGGACCTACGGCTTTACGTCCCATCCGAAGGACGAAGCAATAATGGTAAAGTGCCTTGCTTAAGAGCACAAGCACCAAGTTCCCACGGTCAGGGTTCGAACTCATGTACCACGGCACACAAATCGAACACCGTAACCATTGGACCACAGCACCCCACCTAGGCCTAAACACAGTACTCAGTAACAGCGAACAAAGTTTTCGCAATACATCACGTGAAATCGGTTTATAAGAAATAAGTTGTACCCAGAACTATTGGTTGTACAATCATGGTACATGTATATTTCACCAATAGTTTACTTACAGACGCGTGCAAAGCGAGCCAGAGAGTTTAGAATCTATTCAAGTTCAGTATCGTTTCACGGCACTTCCTCATATTTTAGTCGGTTTGCATTCACATTCCCTCCTCCATAATGCAAATTCTGCCAACAAAATACCGAACGAAACCGCTGCCACAAACAATCCCATATCTGGTGCTGCCTCAGTGCTTACGGATAATGGAAGTCAGGGGCGCATTCAAAAGTGCAATACGTACTTCATCCCTTAGGCCAAATAAAAAAGGCTCTGGTTTCTGATATGGAGTGGGCCTAAAAAGTGGTGCGGCGACGCGGTTTAAATTTTATTATTTTTTTTACCGTTTTTTTAACTCCAAAATGTAGGCTGATGACTGCAAATGGTGCCCGACTAAACTTAGTGCAAATATATGGGAGTCCAGAGAGGCCACATAAAGCTTATTCTCGATCGTAACCCCATCTAAAAACACGTTAAAATCGTGCAGCAGCAGGATTCCAGTCAAACCAGTGAGTTTGGCGGTTTTGAGACATCATCTTTAAATGAAAAAAAAAAAAACCTTTTTCATTTTGCCGACGCGCATGGCTACGGCGACGCGCGCGCATACCAGAAGCCGGAGACTTTTTTGGCCTTAATACCATCAACCGTCGGTGAAGGTCTAGGGTATGCCAACACTGCCATACGTTTCAAGTGGGCCCGGTTTTATAGTCCTGTAAAAATTGACGAGGACCTTACGCCTTCAGGGCTTTGCGCTTCAAAAGATAGCAAAAATAGAAAGTACCATGAGACTCGCTCTCGGCCAATCAAGACACAGAATCTGTGGGTGAGGTTTTATAATACTAACCGACGTGAAAAGTTTTCCCTTGGTAATGTGTGATTGGCGTACAGCAGCAAGAGCCTACATTGTCATCGAATGAATTAATTGGCACACGATTAAAATAGAAAAGATACATGTACCTTTTGTTATTTGGAAAGTCAGGTTGGCGTAACGGTACTTTCCTCCCCGGGTTCGAATCCCGCCTGGGTCAATATGCGGATTGGATTTTCAGTCCCTACCTGATTCCGTGGGTTTTCCTCAGAATACTCTTCTGGGCTTTTCCTCCCACTTCTAAAACTGTAATTTCTTCACATTGTCTTCTCTTTACTGGGACCCGTGGGATATCAGTGGATTCCACTGAATGGGCTACCAAGTTAAAATAAGAAACAAATAAAGAAGACTTTTTCTTGGACTTATACCTTATAGTCACGACAAGGATACCAGCATACAGCTATAATTATGATGTCATCTGAAGTGACTGTTAACTGGTACCAAATCGACTGGTGAATTGTAAATTGTAACCTGCACTCAAAAGCTGTTCCACATTTCTGAACCTGTAAGCAGCAATCCTACTATAATAACATGAATTGTCACATAAATGATTCCATGTACAAAAAAGACGAATGGCTATACTCATCTACACATAAACTCCTCCACTGTACAGTACTACACACGTAACTGTGGCTGGCTTTAACAAACGATTTCATAATGTATATTTCACCAATAGTTTACTTACAGACGCGCGCAAAGCGAGCCAGATCAGAGTGCTGAGAATCTATTCAAGTTCAGTAATCCTCGTTTCAATGACACTTCCTCATATTTTAGTCGGTTTGTATTCACATTCCCTCCTCCATGATGCAAATTCTGCCAACAAAATACCGAACGAAACCGCCGCCACAAACAATCCCATATCTGGTGCTGCTCCAGTGCTTACGGATAATGGAAGGCAGGGGCGCATTCAAAAGTGCAATACGTATTTCATCCCTCTGGTTTCTGATATGGAGTGGGCCTAAAAAGGAAGCATGCGTCCATTAGGAGTTAAGATATCTGTATTTCGGGATTGAATGTTAAGTGTTCACGGCACACTTATATATAAGATAATCTACAAAATGTATAACATTCCCTCCCCACATGCAAATATGGAACGATTCACACCATATCCAGCATACTGTTTTATGTACAAACCATGCAGTAGGGTAAATGTAACAACATAAACCGGGAATCTACCCCTTACATAGATGAGAGTAGTCAGGTCGAAATAAAATAGAGTAAAAATATATTTCTTTCCTATTTAAAATAAACTTTTTAAAAACTCTATGTTTTTGTATTGTATTTCGCCACCACCAAAAATAGAAGACAAAATTCAAAACTGAAAAAATATATTCTTAAGAAATAGAGGTAAAATAGAGGTAAAATATGGGTTGCTATTTTTTTTTTTTAAATAGCATGCTATTTGTAAAAAATAAAAGAAAATGGTGTTTGTCCGCACAATGGTTTTAACTTAATACATGGACACTACCAGTATATGTAAACAATATACATGTACATGTCCATATATACAATTTAAGCATTTAGCAGTCCTACGTACATAAAGTGAGCAAACAATACGACTGAATAATAATTGAAAATTCAAGTCTATTTACCATGGACAGTAATTATTCTGTGACAACACAGAGTCCAACCATTTAACATCTACATGCACATACCATGGAGTTATTAAAACAGTTTGGTTCAAATTCAACCACACATATCCCTCATAGAAAATCTCTTGCAAAATCCTATGTTATTCCTATTTAAAATACATTTTAAAGCTTTTTTCTCCTACAAAATATAAATGATTCCATGTACAAAAAAGACGAATGGCTATACTCACCTACACATAAACTCCCCCACTGTATAGTACTACACACGTAACTGTGGCTGGCTTTAACAAACGATGCTCATATACTCTCCCAGAATCCAAATGTAACACTGCAACACTTAAAAGGTAAATTGACGAGAACGGAATCCAACTTTACTATCGAAGGCAAAGGCGCACAAATGATGAAACCACTTCCGCCCAGACCCTATATCTATGGGATAGCCGACGTCATGATGGCAGAATTGGACAATATTGTCACGCCCTCTATGGCTCCCGTTTCCATATAAAATGTGTAAATTGTTGGCTTCCTTTTGAAAAACTGAGCAAATCACATGATTTTAGACTGGAGACCTGTCATCCAAAGACACGTGTAAATGATGACTGGCAACGTCCTCGTGTTTCTATTATCTTATTGGTTGCCCTAGTTTTTACAACTGCGCTGTGCCACCTCCACTATAGTTTGAATGGCCTACTTGTACCTAAAATAATATTAAGTCGATTAACACTTGTCTATTTTGTCCGCAACGGCAAGAGGAATTACCACTTGTACAGCGACACTCATGTGTCACA